AACAGTAAATTATTTTTCTTTAATGACATTTCTACGATGCACTTTCGGGCATTATCAATAATGGATTGGCTTTAGCCCACTTTCAAAGTAATGTTTTTAAATATTGAAATAACTGCAAAAATTTATGTCAGAAATTATCGTATACTTTGAATATATTTAACCGCAAAATGTTGTTTATGACAGCTAACTTCAAGTTGTACAAGTTATTACAGTCAACAAAAAAATTGACAAATGAATTTAGGCCACTTTCAAAATAAATGGCTCATATATATATATATATATATATATATATATATAAATAATCTGCACTTGTATTTGATTCTATTTACGATGCGAGATATGCATTCAATTTATAGCACCTTCCTCTTTATTTATATCGCGAGAAACTCCCAGGATTTCGAGAGAGAAACACGGCGCACGATAAAAAAAATTTCGAAGATACTTATTCGGAAATAATCACATCACTCATTGAGTTATTACCTCTGTGAAACTCAGGATAACCGCCGACCACGCGGCTGCGACCACTCTGGGCAAGGAGGCGCGTCGCTGGTCGACGAGGATCGCCCGTGAAGTCAGCGGCATCCGCGAGAACAACCGGAAGCTGCAGACGATGCTGCAGCTTAAAGAAGCCGGTCAAAAGGTGCGTCAACGCAGTGTCCTGTACGAATAATTCATATTTGATTACCTACTAAAGTTACGTTTAGTTATTCATTGAAACGTCTTATTTACTAAAAATCGAAGCTATTTATATACTGGGAGAGAAAATGATCCTTCGTTCTAAGCTTGTTCTTTCTTATTCTCTCTGTTAGACTGATCCGAATGATCCTAATGGTCCAGATTTAGACACTAAGATCGACGAGCTGAGACACGCCATTCGACGAGCAGAGGTGAGACTTTCGTGTGTACATCTCGTCGTATTATATCTTGAATATCTTGAAAACGGAGCAATTGGCTAAAAAATGCTTCAGACAAAAGTCGTAGGGTTTAGAAGGGGACATAAATCGATGACCTTCTAACACAATTTTTTCCCATTGCGCACAGACTGCAAAACTGAAAGCAGAAGCAAGGATAGAATGTCTCCGACACGGTGGGGGTTCGTAATATTCACCGTTTAATATTACTTTTATTACTTAATACTATTTAAATATTAATTTAGATAATTAATTAGCCTATCTACATTTTTCTTCCTTGCCCTTTTCCAGTGAACGTGGACGAATTTCTGCAAGAGGCCGAGACACTCAGCGTTCAGGATATGCCGCGCTCCGCCAGTTCCCTCTCGGTTAGAACAGACGCATCTGGTGCCGCGGTGAGTACGCAACTTTACTCGACTGAAAAGTCTTCCGTGAAAGAAAAGAACTACGTAGAATAAGATAGAAGGAATTGGATAGACGAGGGACTGAATTTCCACGGGTCTTTGAAATCCATTCGCAGGAGCATCCGTCCTCAGACTCGTTCTACGACAGCGACGGTGACGGCGGCAGCGACCTGACGACCGTTGAACGTCCCGGAAGCGGCAGGAACGCGCCGCAGCAGGAGGAAGAAGTTGCCGAAGAGAGACAGAGGCACGACAGCGCCGAGGTCGATGGTACGTCGGGGATTTCCTGATCGAACGGGACCGAAACCAAAGTCCACGCTGCGTAAAAATGTCTTTTACTCACCTTCAATAATTTTGTTTAATTTTAATAATAATAATAAACTAATTAATTATAAATATATTATATAAATAAATTATAAATAAAATAATTGTTAATTTTCACACTTGACGGATAGAGAAAGTCCGGAGAAAATATGATATATCGATTATCCGTTAATTACAAAGTTATCTGCTTTTTTTTGTAGCATTGTTGGAGCAGGAGAAACAACGAATAGAGGAGTTGACGGCGGGTTGGGACGATCCCACGGCGGTGGACTGGGACAACGAGGAGAAGGACGAGCAGGAGACGCACGAGACACAGGAAATGATCTCCAGCCAACCCATTTACAAGTGCACTGCTCTCTATTCATACACAGTAAGCTGTCCGCGAGGCAGAAAGCGGAATGTAGCGGCCCATTTTTTTCTTTTATCCGGCCTCTCCTGTCGCTTTTATGTTACTATCGTCATTTATTCGATCTCACCAGGCGCAGAATCCGGACGAGCTGTCGATCGTGGAGAGCGAGCAGCTGGACGTGGTCGGCGAGGGCGACGGCGACGGTTGGCTGAAGGCGCGCAACTACCGGGGCGAGGAAGGTTTCGTGCCGCAGAACTACCTGGACGTGGAGCGGGAACCGGAAGGGCCGACTTCCGGCGGGCTCACTTCGCAAGGCCCGGCGGGCCTGGTCCAGCAGATCTCCTTCTCGTCCGTCGACTACACCATCGACGATCACGACGCTGTTGATCCTGACGCGGGTCTGCACGACGCCGTCGCTGACGATGTCATTGTAGAAAATCACATCGGAGGTATGGAAGCGAAGCTGTCGATGAACACCTGCTCTTCTACTCATATAAATCCTGGTTGGCGCGCAGAGTTGGAGCAGTACTGCATCGCGCTGTACGACTACGACGCGACTTGCGACGAGGAGCTGAGCTTCCTCGAGGGCGACATCGTCCGGGTGGTACGCAAGGAGCCCCACGAAGTGGACGATGGCTGGTGGGAGGGAGAACTACGGGGCCAGCGAGGCCTCTTCCCGTCTCTCATCGTGGAGCCTTGCGGACCCGATGGCGCCCCTTTGACCCCGCAGGTGAGGAAGATCAATCTTTCCCACTCGACCATCGAACAAGTCAAATGTAAAGCATGTATCTTCGTCAGGACGATATAACGCCACCAAGTTCCGCGCCTCCTGTCTTCACCCCGCCGGAAGTGCCGGAGTTCTTGTTGGCCGACGAGCTCACTCAGATCGATGGTAATTACACGATATTTTACGTATGAGAAATCTTTTCTCACGAAAATTCGATCTTTTACTTTAAGGATGAATGAATACCCCGTATTTGATTATCTTTATGCGAATTTCACCTCTGATTCGATCACCTTGATGAGTCTAAATGTCTTTCGGTGTATTTTTATAGGCATATTTTCAAGGTTGGTTTAGATTAGCGTTATACTTAATCCTTCTGTTTCATCTTTTAATGTAAACTTACGTGGTCGTAGAATCGCAAGAAGAGAAGCCGGCGGTGAACGGTGAGAGTGGTTTTGTGATAAACCTGTCAAAGGACCAAAAGGACCATTACGGCTCGCAGTTCGAGGAGAAGCCGGACGCGCCTGGTATATTAGGTGAGAGAAAATGGGATGTCTCGATTATTTAAGGAATCTGCCCCTGAGAAGTAATGCCAATAATGGCAGGACACTGTGTGTGCACGCTCATGTCGCTGCTCTAATGCAATATTAAGAGATTTTAAGTGCAGGAGACTTGGATAATTTATAGAAAGTAGCGTTTGTCCTCCTTGTCTGTATGTAGTTCTACGTGATAATTTTATTCATTTCTCGCTGATCCAAGTTGTCTCAAGGTGTGGAGTTAGAGCAGCGATATAATCGAAGTAGGTAGCATTTGTTATTGTTTACCTGCATATTTTAATCTATGAAACACTATGACTTGCTGCTGCGCAGTCGTGGAGATATCAGATGAGTCGGGCGATAAGGTAAATTGGCGTAGAACGAGCGACGGAGGAAACGTTTAACGCACATCGAATGAGGGTGGATTCCTCTTCCGCAATGATCAGATCGAACAAGCCCACCCCCCGTTGATTTCTCGTCCGATACAGTGAGATGAAAACAGTCCTTTGATCTAGAAGAGGAGTTTAGCGGAATATCCGATGCGCGTTACACACCCTGCCTGTGTAAATTCGCTGACGACCACCCTTTCGTTCGCAGACGGAAAAGGCTGAGGAGAACTTGAGAGCCGTTGAAGAGCCGGATCAGAAAGACGAATTCGGCCTGGGAGTGGCGCAAATCGTTATCACGGCAGCCACGCCCATGGAGGAGGTCGAACATCCGTTCCCGGGTGCCGAGGAGGCCCCGGAAGACCCGGTGAAGTCCACCGAGAGCTCGGAGGCCGACCAGGAGGCTTCCAGCGCCGCCTCGGATCCCAACGAGAGCGAGTGCAAGGAAGAGGAGGAAGCCACTGTGATCTTGGATGAGAAAGAGGTCGACGAGGGGGAGGAGAAGTCGACGATCGACGAGCTTCCAGCGGATTCCGCGCCGTTCCCGATCAGCAGTAGTTCCGGCAGCGAGGCGGACTCGACCGCTTCCGGTCCGAGTACGAACGAGAACTCCCAATCGCGCGGAACGGTGGTGGAGGTGACGGAGGAGGGCGAGGTAGAGGAGGAGGGGGAGGAGATGCTGGTAGGGGGTAAAATGCTGGTCGGCGGACGGGCCAGCATCCCCGATGAGCTGCAGCCGGACCAGCTGGAGAAACTACAGAGCTTGAAAGAGTCGAATGCCTAGGGTCCCAGCTGACCGGGCCGCGGCAGCCGGCCCGGCAGGCTCCTCGCCCTGCCCCAAGGCCACCCCGACCACTTCCGCCACCTGCTGAACTTCTGGCGCGCACCGGACGTTCTCACCAGAAAGGACTAAGGACTTCTCTGGGGAAGAAAAGGACAAGAGACTCGGAGAGACTGATGAGACACCGATCGGTGACAGAGAGAGAGACGATCATTCTTGCGGCTGTCCCGCCTTCGGGAAAGTAGCTTTCTTAGCGTCCTATACAATGAATAGTCGCGCTTGCCAACCGCCCCTGTTTGGAATAAGGTACGTTAATAGATTCGAGAGAAATGTGAATTAGTTAGCGCTCTCAGGGTGAAGAATCGTCGAGCCCTGATCGTCCTGATAATAATAATAGGCTGTCGAGAGCTGAGAGGGATAGAGCTCGTGGAAATTGCGAGATCGATCGGAGTTTTAGGAGAAGAGGGGTCGATACACACGATTTATCGGGTGGATTTTAACATTGCGATAATCTGTTGTCGGATCGCTAATCTATTAGGTAGATCACCACGTTAATCTATTTATCTAGCACAATAATCATTGATTTCGAGGAGAGGAGCGAGAGATCGACGAGCACCCGGCGCCGGGACAGCCGCAGCGGATGGATGATACAATATTCACGGTCACCAAAGGATTCTATGGGAGACTTTATATAATGTCGCACCGAGATTTCAAGGGTTCAACGCGACAGCAGGCCGATCTGTTCTCAGGGTCTCGAGAAGATCGATGTTAATTAAATTTTCCCAATTTCAAGCCTCCCGAATCCTCCGAGGAAACAGCTCGGGCCGCTGTCGCACCTCAGACCTTTCATTTCTACGTCGACCTATTAATATAAAAGAAAAAGAAATCTGAAAATGCATGATCGCGTCGATTGTCCTGTTATTTGGGATAGCTAATTTCGGGTCGGCCGAAGACGACCCATCTAGCGAACGATCTGACGACGGAAGAGGGGGAAGTCACGAGTGCGAACGATGTACAGTACGAATATGTACGGGAGAGAGAATTGTCGATACCTGTCGATACTAGAGGGCTGTAAAGCGACGACGACACCCGCACGACGGTCGTCGGTGTACATTTCAAGGGAATTACACTGGTGTTGCATGTAAAAAGGTGAACGACTGTCTCCTTTGAATACCACTCTCTCTATCCCTCCTTGGTTTCCTTATTGATCTAACGGAACGTAATGAATTGCTCAGCTCAACTATCTTTAATTAAATAATTCCTCCGGAGCACAAGGGTGCTTTTACATGCTGCATAACTTGCATCGGACGATCAAATCCGCGGTGGTAATCGGCAATTGGGTAATTGAGACGATTTGATTAGCTGACGCAAGTTACGCCGCATGGGGAGGCCTGAGACGTCCTACGGATTATTCAAGTCGCACAGATTTTTATATACAGGGTGTTCCAAACTAATCTCGATTCCCATGGTGTGCAAGGAGAACAGGTGAAACTGAGCAAAATGTCATGTAAATTCATCAATGTCATCTTGCAAAATCGCAGACGACGCAGTGCGATGCGCGATGTCCAATGAACGGGCAGCTCTTCTGGAAAAGTAATGTGCTCATCAGATATCGCGTGTCGCGTCATGCAAACCTGCGAAAGCCATTAAAAGTTCCGGTTTACCAAAAATGCTTTAACTCTTTGACTGCTATGGGCGCATATATGCGTCCAGCAAAAATCATCGGTGTGGCCTATGGGCGCATATGTGCGTCCGACGCAAGCCATCGATGTAGACTATGGACGCAAATGCGCGCTCGGCGAAGGCTTTGGCTGTTTACTGCTGTAATGTGTTGTCTGCAGGAGACATAGAAGAAGGAGGGATACTCCATACGAGTGTACAAAATGCGACGTCGGATTATGCGTTGAGAACTTGTTTTGAGATTTACCATACGCAATTAAACTATTAATTTTCTTATTGTTCTTATTTCTTAAAAGAAAGTTTTTGTTTATATATTGAGTATTTATGTTACTTACTTGTTATTTGTTCAATTTTTCAATTTCCAATATCCAAACACATACATTATAACTATCAAATTATGGCGTTTTAAAACTTTACTATTGGTGAATAAACAATATATATTGAAAATAAAAAATGATTGGATTCATTTTGCAGTGGACAAAGTAATTGGATTGTGTACTATATTATAATGTGTTAATACGCCGCCGATAAGATCCATATTGCGCGCAAAAGTATTCAGTCCTCAGCGATCGCTACTGCCGGCCGTACGCCGCCCACGCGAAGCGCTTCAACTTAACCCTTTGCACTCCAGCCTAGTAATGCATAGAGGCTATTAGTTCCTACCTATTAGTACATACCTATGATGTAGAAGAAAAATAGAGTCGTTTCAATAAAACAAAATTTTTATTTCTTAGCTATTTTATAACAAAACATATTCTAACTTATATTATAAAAGAAAAACATAAATTTTAGGACTTAAAATTTCTTAAAGTGCCGAGGCAGCAAAACAACCATGTCGCCGCTACGGCGACAGCGGAGTGCAAAGGGTTAAAGCAGTTAGCAGTCAAAGGGTTAAACCTTGAGCCTTAAAAAGATCGATCAATCATAATTGATTAATCCTCTATCACACAGACACACACATACACAACGCGCGCGCAAACAAATGATATTTATTTGATTCTGTATATGTCAAAATAAATAGTGAATTCGCATTTCTGGAAGGCACAAAGTCTAGAAATAGATCGTCATTTTTTGTAACTTGGAAGTTATGTGACAAGGGAAGATAAAAAGGAGGAAATTTCTCTTTCTCTGCCGTATAATTGAAATTTTAATTAAATTGCAGGTAGACCGAATATAAAATTGCAATCGAAAAAATTGACATTAAATCGCAATTAATACATTCCGTTTTCGGTGTACACTGAATTCGGCCTCCACGTCACTGACATTTTTTTTTATTTTAAGGGACAAGATGCAGGAAAAAAGTTGATCACTCGTTCGTGCTGTCGCCATATTTGGGACACATTTAACAAGCTCCATATTGTGCACACTGTTTGCGGTGTACACATAGCGTAAATTGGAAGTCGCGTAAAAAGAGTTCGGTACACAATGTATTAAACAGGAATGTTGCGTGTAAAAATTATATATTTCTCATATTTCTTATACACCACTATTATAAGAGTAATACGAGTCTAATAGTAAAAAATCATTGATATCCGAACCACAAAAATCGCAATAACGATCGAAAACAATTTTCAACATTCGTCTATCAACAGTACACAGAAGAATTTCCAGATCGACTCTTCAAGATTGCATTCTCAGTGCACCGTCCAGTCTAATAGTTTCCCCATTTAGCATCGGATTTTCGACGATTTGCTGCGCTAACATTGCGTACTCGTCGGGCAGTCCCAGTCTTTGAGGGAAAGGCACTGATTTCGCCAAGAAGACGCGTACTTTTTCGGGCAATGCCATCAGTAAGGGCGTGTCAAAGAGCCCCGGCGCAATCGTCACTACGCGAATCCCATCTTTCGCGAGATCGCGTGCGATCGGCAGCGTCATAGCTACCACTCCGCCCTTTGACGCGGAGTAAGAGGCCTGACCTATTTGACCTTCGAAAGCTGCTACGCTCGCTGTGTTAATGATCACGCCCCTCTGACCGTTTTGATCTGGACTATTCTCGATCATCAACCCCACCGAGAGACGAATGGCGTTGAACGTGCCTATAGTGTTGACTTGGATGACCTTGGCAAAGTCTTCCAAACTGTGGGAGATCTTTTTATTGCTGTTGTATGTTTTATGAGCGATTGCGATACCGGCTGCGTTCACCAGCACGTCTAATTTACCAAATTTCTCTTTTGTAAGGTCCAAGGTTGCTTGGAAATTTGATTCTGATGTTACCTATTTTTGAAAAAAGAAAATACACAATATAGAATAGCAGAATAGAATACTGGCTTATCATGCTCTAAAATATAAAATATAAACGAATATTAATGAGACATAAATATAAGTACAGAGATATAGAGATATAAATTACAAGTAAAGATAAGACAAGAAACAGAGTAGAGGAAAAAAGAAATAAAAATAAATTTATATCAGTTAATGTAAATATATATAACTAAAGAAGAATAGTAAAGTGGAAATAATGAAATATGAAAATATATAGATAATAATAGTTATTTTTAGATTTCATGTACGTACATCCGTAGGTGAGAATACTGCATTAGATTCACCTAGCTCATCAGCTACAGATTTCCCCTTGGAACTTTGTAGATCAGCAATGACTACTTTAGCACCTTGCTGGACAAATCTTTGTGCAGTACCACGCCCCAACCCAGAAGCTCCCCCAGTCACTAAAGCTACGATTCCCTACAAAAAGAATTAAATTATATCCCAGCTATTTTTCATAGCTTCTTTACCTTTAATTCCATATTTTAATTTATACAAACCTTGATGGAAATATTATGATGAAAATTTTACTGAAATTCTCTCTTAATTGACACCATTTCACTATCATTCCATTAATGATTCTGTACACAGTTTCCCGTTAAATTCGGTAAACGTCAATAGTATACTTTATGTTTAAGTACTAATATACTACGAATATGATGGACAGTGAGGTGAAAATTACTAAAATATATAATAATAAATATCTCAAAATAAATCATAATTTTCGTCATGAAATTCAATGTAATGCTGTGAAATATAATGAAAATTAAAGCATAATTCTGTAAATAAAAAAGAATTTTTGAAATATTAGATATCATGAAACTTCCTGAATCAAACTGAATACCACGTATTAATGAAATAAGGAGAGATATAATTGAGAGAGAATTTCAGTAAAATTATCAGCAGAATATTTCTATCAGGGGAACTATATTTAATTACAAAACGATATTCTTATCGACAGTCGTAAAAGTTTTAAATGTTGAAAATTGAGAAACCAGTCCACATTTCAGCAGCACACTATTAGTGCTAACGCACATTTTATTTTTTGTTCCACATTAGAAACGTGATAAAGATAGAACAGCTCATCAATGCTGATTTTACAATAGCGCTGATCAATGCTAATAAACGCAATCCTCGAATTCTCCCTTAATAACTTAATGTTGACTTGTAAAAATTGAAAGTCTACTTTTCGCGAACATTGCAAAACAATAATTAGCTCGACGATAACAAAAGATACCTTCAACATAGCGGAAAAATTTCCGGAAGACTTCGTAGTGCAAAGTAAGCAATCGACAAGCGACGATCTGTAACTGCTCGGAGATCCCGAAGTAACTGGAACAGTTCACGTGCGAGAGCGATAACTGAAGCGGGAGTGCCAAATGGACTTTGGAGTCTCTGTATCGAATGTTTTGAATCAACGAGTCACCTTGTGGTGAACTGTATGCATAGCAATAATTGCATACCGATAAAGATATAAATAAAAAAAAAGTGCACTCACGGATAAAATACTATCAAGGTTGTTCTTGGATTGCGTAAAGTCCGCATCAGACTACGTATAGTAGATCGAATTGAAAATTGACCAATCAATGCAAGTTTTACTAAATTTCACTAAACTTCAGTTTAGTTAACTCTGCACTGATTGGTCAAACTCAATTCCCAAGTCGTGGTCTGATACGGACTTAATCGTCCAAAGAAGGAGCGCACAAAACACGTGCGATGACACGTTCGATTTTCGATTCTGGGTATTTTCACGTCGAATGTGTCACATCATACTCTCGTGTATATTGAAGTCAGCTCCTCGTCCATTTTGTCTGAGCGGTAAACGTAGTAAACTTATATAAGTAGTTTAAATATAGAATGACCGAGAGTAAGAGATTGGTACGAGATATCAAATCTATCAATGGAGAAAAACAGAACTTTCGGACTTTCCGAGTTAATCGTTAATCGCATGACATTGGATGATATTGCGGGCGCGCAGTGTGAATTCTTCATTATTCATTCGAATCTCACACGTACCGCACACACACACGTTCGCACATGCGCGCAAACAAAAATGAGATCATATTTACTGGATTCTCTATACGTCAAAGCAAATAATGAATTCGCATTTTTTGGAAGGTATAAAGTCTAGAAATAAATTCTCATTTTCTATCATTTGGAAGTTATATAACAAGGGAAGTTATATAGAAAGAAGAACGCTAAACTTGTTCTCCACGTCAACTAATATTTTTTTACTGTAAAAGGTACAGTAAAAAACTCGTTCCTGCTGTGTTATTGTTTGCAACACAGTCAACAGACTCCGTAATATGTATACTATTTGCAGTGCACACATAACGCAAATTAGAAGTTGCGTAAAAATAGCTCGGCACGGAATATATCAAACTTACAGGAATATTACATGTAAAAATATATATTTCTTGCATTCTCCGTAAACCAGTGTCATATGGGTAACAAATTAGTTAGTAAAAAATAATTGATGCCTGAACCTTAAAAGTCGGATTAAATATCGAAAACAATGTTCAACTCTCGTCCGTCGTTGGTATGAAAGAATTTCCAGATTGATTCTTCAAGATTGCATTCTCAATGCACCGTCCAGTCTGATAGTTTTCCCATTTAGCATCGGATTTTCAACGATTTGCTGCACCAACATTGCGTACTCGTCGGGCTGTTCTATTCTCTGAGGAAAAAACAACGACTTCGCCAAGCTGGCGCGCACCACATTGGACACTTCTATCAGCATAGGCGTCTCAAAGGGCCCTGGTGCAGCCGTATTACGCGGATCCTATCTCTCGCGAGATCGCGTACGATCGGCAGCGTCATACCTACCACTCCGTCCTTCGACGCGGAATAAGAGGCCAGACCATGTTGACCTTCGAATACTCGCTGTGTTAACGATCACGCCCCTCTGACCGTTTTAATTCGGAGTATTCTCGATCATCAACTCTACCGAAAGCATAAATAACGATAAATATTCAAATAAGAAAAAAATGACACATCGACGATAATATTACTAAAACCGTCGTTCTCGTGTTGCATAAAATGTTGGTTGGGATTGAAAATTGACCAATCAGTGCAAATTTAACTGAATTTCGCTAAACTTGAGTTTGGTTAATTTTGCACTGATTGACCACGTTCAGTTCAATCTTAATTCCCAATCCGTGATCTGATACTAATTGTCCAGAGAGATATTAGGTCTGTTCGTTTTCGCTGCACCGTCGAACTAGTGCAATAAGTTGAAGTGAGAAAACATATACTTGTCTCTCTTCAACTTATTGCACTAGTTCAGCGATGCAGCGAAAACGAACAGACCTATTGTCGAAGGAGCGCGCAAAACGGTTTGCGATGACGCGTTCGATCTTCGATTCTGGATGCTTTCACGTCGAACGTGTCGCATTTACACTCTCGTGTATCATGATTCAGCCTTTTGTACATTTCGGTTGAGCGGTAAATACGATGAGCTTATGTAAATAGTTTAAACACAGAATGACCGAGAGTGAGAGATGGGCACGAAATATCTGAGATCGTTAATCGTAAGTCGTAACACCATCGTGGGCGTGCAGTGTGAATTCTCCATTATTCCGAATCTCATCTGGCGCACACGCACATAACACACACACACACACACCACTCGCAATGCGTCGCGCCACATACACACACACATATCACGCAGGCACTTGTAATCCGTGATTCATTGTCGCGCAACTGCGCGCAAAAAGTGTATGCGATTGTGCGTAGCAATTGATGTGATGTTTTGCGTCGGCTGCAACGAGGTAATTAGTGCCCTCACATTATCGTATCGTTGATTAATCATTCGGGGTGGAAGGGAGGGGATAGGGGAGAATTCGCGAGATCTTCGGGAAGACGCTGGAAGTGTCATCTCATCGCGATATCGGGACGTCGTTCGCGACAGCTCGCGCGACTTTTCGTCCTTCTCTACGGCGAGTTTGCTCGAAATTCGAGCGAGTTTTTCGGACTTCCTCGTAATCGATCGATCTCGATCTGTCGGCGACGACGCGTCGTAATCGTAACGCACGTTCAACGATCGGCTGGGAGAAGTGTGGTTAGAAAATCGAGTGCAAACCTTCCTGCACCGGGCGCACTTTTCCTCTACACGCTGCGCATTTCCGACGTGCGCTGTCCCTAACCTGCACCTTTTTGCGTGCTATTTAATTCCACCGTCTTCGAGAATTTGCGTGTCTCCTGTAAAAGTTCTCGGCTGTAAATATGAACAGATAACTGGCGGCGGCGAGGAGGTTAAGGCTGGTGACAGTGTCCATAATTTTATCTATGTTAATTATATTCATAATAAAGTTGAATATTTAAATAACGAGCAGCTTTTGAACTTTTCGATATTTCTACGCAGTTATATCGACGTACACGTATCTATCGTGTCGATGCTATCCGCGATGTTGCTCGAATCATAAATTTCGTATTTTCGTCGATAGTTGAATTAAGCGCTTCATTTTCACGGTCTCCTTGCAGAATGCCGATACAGGCACCGCAGTGGAATGAATATTTATCTTGTCCAATCTGCTGCCATGAGTTCGACGTGGCGGAGCGAGGTCCGATCTCGCTGGGCTGTGGGCACACCATCTGCCGTACCTGCTTGGCCAACCTTCACCGCAAACAGTGTCCTTTCGATCAGGTGCGTCATGATATCCGACAGATAAATGTAGAAAGCATCTTACTCTACTATGTTTTCATCATCCTCCGCGATTCAAAGTCAATTCCACGAGTATAATCATCGAATGAAGCGTTTGTAACTTACAAGCTGTTGATTAATTCAGTAATAATACCCATCCGCAGAGTACAATCAACACGGAGATCGACCGATTGCCAGTAAATGAGGCGCTGCTACGTCTGGTGGGCAACAGCCAAATCCCGGCGAGCGTGGCAGCGGCGTACCAGAAGCTGCTACCAGCTGAAGAGCATGCTAATTACCTGGTGGCCAAGAGCTGCATCGAGCAACTGGCTCTGTATCTCAAGCCATGCCAAGCCGCCAGCCCCACCGTGGCTGCAGGTACACGATACAGAAAAGAATTAAGTAAATAATTCCTACTGTAGAATAATTGTCTCTTCTGCATCTTATTCCTTCGACAGGCGTAGGTCTGGTGTCGCGACCGATGCAACGCAAACTGGTGACGTTGCTGGGCTGCCAGCTGGTGGAGCCGGAAGGCCGGGCGCGGGCGGTGCGCGCCGCCCGCAGCCTGGGCGAGCGATCCGTCACCGAATTGATATTGCAACATCAGAATCCGCAGCAGCTCAGCGCCAACCTCTGGGCGGCGGTCCGCGCTCGCGGCTGTCAGTTCCTCGGGCCAGGTAGGTTGCAGAATTAAGGAGGACTCGAGGAATGAAATTTCCTTTCGAGAGAACGCCGTTCAATCTTGTTTATGGAATTCTCGACATTTGAGAACGCTTCGAGAGACACACGACGTGATTAGATTAGATATAGACTTGAAAAATTATGAAATCTCCAAGTCACGTGGCATGGAAATTCTTAGATCGAGATGTACAATACTAGAAGCAGGGACCGAAATTTTATGAAATATTTTAGTGGACCGGAACCGTCTGATATTTTCATTCGGTCCTCGACTAGAAGTGATACTCTTGCGACATAATTCTATTGTATTGAATACACATTAGCGATGCAGGAGGAAGTTCTCAAGCTCGTCCTGCTGGCCTTGGAAGATGGCTCGGCGTTGTCGCGGAAGGTGCTGGTGATGTTCGTGGTGCAACGTCTGGAGCCACATTTCCCACAAGCATCGAAAACCAGCATCGGGCACGTGGTGCAGCTATTGTACAGAGCGAGTTGCTTCAAGGTCAGTGGTGCATTCGTCGTACAGGATGTTCCATTTCCGTCACGTTACTTGTCGAATCGACTCTTTGGTAGATTCTATTAATTCAAGTTACGACTAGATGTGTGCGAACACACGAGATAAGAGTTCGTCGAGACAAATAATAATAACAAAATAATACGTGCGAAACGTCGCCAGGTGTCTAAGCGGGAGGGTGACTCGTCGCTGATGCAGCTGAAGGAAGAGTTCCGCACCTACGAGGCTCTGAGACGCGAGCATGACGCCCAAATTGTGCAGATCGCCACGGAAGCTGGCCTCAGAATCGCGCCGGATCAGTGGTCGGCGCTGTTGTACGGCGACACAGCCCACAAGTCCCACATGCAGAGTATCATCGACAAGCTGCAGACGCCGCAGTCGTTCGCTCAGAGTGTGCAGGAGCTCGTAATAGCGCTCCAACGCACGCCGGATCCAGGACAATTGAGCGGTCTGCGACCGCAGTTGGAACTGTTGGCTGCTATTGATCCCAGTCCAGGTGAGCTGCTCGCAGTGATTGGTCAGTCGTATCGTTGCAACAATATGATAAAATATGCAATAATAGCGCCTTATCTGTACCTTTAATTTCTTAAAATTTCTTAAAATTGTAACGTGATGGAGCAGTCTGGAAATCGGATTCGTATTCAGCGTCCGAAAAACTACGGGAAACGACGTCTGGTTTTCTCTTTTTTTTAACCGTTATTTTTGCATTGTTCTGTATATTTCCACGTTACAACGATTGGTTTTTCCTTATAGAAGCGGAGCCACCGTCCCTGGCGGACTGTCGGGCTGCGTTGGAGGCTGTTAGGATAGTGGTGGCTGCGCTGGTGGATTTTGTGAGGCAGCATGGCGGTGGCGCCGGCGGAGGTGGTCGAAAGTCGCAAGACGGCGGCGGATCCGCGGGCTCGGTCGCTGGCTCGGGTCCAGCTGGCTCCGCCAGCAAGTATAAAGTCAGCATGTGCAGGGACTTGGCTCTAAGAGGTTCTTGTCCGCGATCCGGAAGCTGCACCTTCGCTCACAGCGACGTGGAGCTCGACAAGTGAGTAACAGAATGAAAATCAACCTGCTTTTCATACCCAAATTGATTGCGCGTATTAGGAAAAGTCAATATAAAATGTAACATTAATAATAAACACAAGTATTTAAGAACTGAAATATATACTGCACAGGATAAATATAAATGGTGTAATATGTTGGGTGACTAGATATAGATCTAAAAATCGCAAATTGAGCGTCAGGACGAATTTGAATACGGAGTTGAAAGGAGATAAAAGTGTGACCAATAACAACAAGAGTTTCAAGCAGAAGGAGGAACTGGCTTATCATCACTCCGTGAAAGCGCACGATAACGTACACCGAGAAAGTAAGTTGAGTTATTGAAACGTTTTCCTTTTCATGATTGTGATGGTAAGATTTCTACCATGACTAACGACGAAATTCATTTTTAACGTCATGTCGTCTAAATTGTTACCACTTTAATCGTTCTTCCGGACAATTATCTCTTCCATTGTATGCATTATCCTTTCAGACCTTTCGGTTTCACGTCCCATTCCAACTTTGAACGAGACCACCTTTATCGAACCGTTGACGACGGGCTACGTGTTACCGCCCTCGCAAAATCTAGCGCATGTGGTGTACCCGAAGAACACGATAGAACCTTTGCATTGTTCACATTACATCGTGGGCCCGGGCCCGATCGACTACGCCCCTGCGCCGCCTGCAGCAAATCTCGGGATGTGGGACGCGCCACAGATGCCGAGCAAACTGACGTCGACGACCAATGACATTTCGGGTGGAGGTAAAAAGGTAAAGAATAAAATGTCTCCAATTCGACTTATTTTTCACTCCTAGAGAATCAGAAAGTATTTCAGATTCTACTTCTCAGGCATCTCACTTTTTCTCTTATTGTTGCAATATACAGGGCGTCCCAGAATAACCGCACGAGGAGTGCACCGGGAGATTTTTGGTATCAAACACAGCCATTTCTTGTCTACCAGAATTTCATTCGACGGCTTTTAAATGAGAATTATTTAAAATTGTCAAATTAGCGCACTAGATTGCACGCTAGTTAGAAACGGAAAGAGATCTCATTTAAAGACTATTATTTGTGTGAAATGTTGGTAAACGAAGAGATGATTTGTTTGACGTGAAAAATTTCCCGATGCACTTCGTATACGGTTATTCTGGATTCTGTATTTTAAATAAAAATATCTCGATAATAATCTGCAATATTCATGGATGTACGAGTTCGCTTTGGTGGAATCTGCCTGTAAAATTGTGAATATGATTTCGCAGCAGCGAACGGTGGCCAAAACGCTGGCCATGCTGTTGCAGCGCAGGAAGGAAATTTTGAACCAGTTGGAGACGATTGTCGGCAAGCAGTCGCCTCAGATAAAAACGGTAACACGGAAAGAATTCCATCAACAGAACATAAACAAAAAAAATATATATATATCTTAACATAAGATGATATTTTATACATATATATAGTGCGTTATTTCGAAGTAATAATGAATAAAATCGAAGTAAAAATAATCAATTTCTTTCTGTTCTTCAGGATTTCGATCTGCAGACCGATTCGTTGTTGACGTCCAACTGGGCGGCCAGTGGCGTACCCGGCACCCCGCTGTTGTTGCCGCCCAACAGCTTTCGGTTGCCCGCCGCCCCTCGTGATCCTCCCGTTATCCTCCACGACGACGACCTGGTTCCCTTCGAGCCTACCGCTCTGCCGCCCACTAGTAAATACGGGCCAATTTCCAGACAATTCTCCAAGACTTTGATAAGGTAACTGCTGCTTTTATCTCTGGGAAAAATTCGACGAAATATGCTAAGAGGCGACATTTTTCATAGATCCCCGAGCGGGTTGCAGGCGCCAGCGAGTTTCTACGGCGAAGGGGGCGGCCCGCCCACGCCTGCCTCGCTGACCGCGTTCAGACCGAATTCCTGGTATTACGGTAATCAACGTGAGTGAATTCCTGTTTGTGACTTAACCGAGAAAATCCGTTACTTCGTGACGTAGAAAACTTCTCCGAGATTCACCGTGCACGTGTATATACGATTATGTGTATTATTAAATCAACAACTGTGTGCGCGCGCGTGCGTTTCAGCTTACGCCACGGTGGGAAGTAACGGAGGTATGCAGGCGACACCGACCAAGGCCGCTTTCGCCGATAATTACGTCACTCTCAGCCGCAATATCGCCGTAGAGTCGCCGGCTATTCAATTTCCTCGTCCGGAATGTACGTCGAAAGAGTGAGTATACTATCTTTGGCGTTTAAGGTCGTCTTGTTTAATGAGAAACGAGAAAACGCGTGCCTAAAATTCTTGCGAAACAACTGAAAGGATGATAAAGCGCCACTTGTGACTGACTGAAAACTTTCCTCTCGCTTTAACATTCGTTGAACAACCGTCAAGTTAACGCGACATCCTTCTTCAACCTTTTTTTTTAGCCCGTCTTTTCTCATGGTTTCGTCGCATCAATCTTACAGCTACTTATTGATTCTTGTAGCAAAAGGTAAGTTTTCAGAATATTTGACGTATCCTTTTGTTTCAACGCAAGAATTTTGGGCTTACTCGCTTTTTCGCTCCCAACGTCACTGATCAGGATAGCTACAGGGTGGGAACGAGGGAATTCTTTTCTACTCATCGCTCTTGTCCCCGTTTCAGCCTGATTCTCGAGTCGCAAAAGGTGAAGCAGCAACTCAAGCATCTCGAGAAGAAGATCAACGATTTGAAGGTAAAACCTCTCTCTCGACGAAGCAACGCTTCTCAACGTTGTGTACGAATAACATTGATATACGTGCGCAGCTGGCGACACAGGCCAACGTGACGTTCACGGCGGGCGAGAGGCTGGCGCAGGAATTGCAGCTGATCGAGGCGGGCATCCGCGAGCGCGAGAGGGATGTGCGCAATTGGACGGTGACAACCCCTTATTGCACGGCGCCTACTTCCGCCGCCGCCACCACCCTCCCCCTCTGCTGCCAGCAACCCGCCGTCGACAACGATCTACTCGCCGGCCAGGAATACAGTCGCGATTACAAAACTCAGGAGGAGGTGAGCAGATTTCAATTTAAAGAAAGGACGCTCAAGGGGACGATACGTCATAACCGAAGATAAATTAAAATAATACGATGAACTGGTTAATAAAATCTTTTCTCTCCCATTGATATCCTTTTTGCTCGTATTTCGGAAAAAAATTCACAGATAATTCGTGTGTGTCTCACGTGGTTACGCGCAAGCTTGATTTTGTGAACATGTGTCGTAAAGAGCCGGGTTGTGTGAGTAAACTGTGTTTCGAAGCACAGAATGGTCTCCTCCGACAGTGAGATGTGTACGCGTATTGAGATATGTGCATGTGTATGCGTAGGATACGTACGAGGCGGGAATAGCCCATGACATACGTGAGTTCGAACTGCGCTGGGAATATGAACTGCGGGAGGAAGATAAGCACTGGTCCTCCAGTGAGGATGATCCCTCCAAAAAATAATATAACAACGGTATCTCCTACTAACCTGGAAGGAAACATGTATTTTCACATGTTGAGCAATCCTTCTTCGATTATTACGCTGAGAGGAAGTAAGTAGAATTTTCGACGAGCTAACGAGAGAGGAAGGGAGAGAGAAAGAGGAAGAGAGAGGAATTGTATAAAATATTCGATTTACATGAAAAATGTGATATTGTAATATATAAAGTCGTGCATTGTTCCATTACATTAATTAGTTGAGATAGAAAATTATGCAACGGTGGAAAGTGAGTTAACGAGTCGATAATTTATAAATTTTCATCCATCTTTCCTTCCTCCTCTCACTCTCTCTCTCTCTCTCTCTCTCTCTTTCCCTCTACACGATATAATATACATATATTAATATATAATAAATGTATGTATATATATGTACATTACTGTATTCACGTTAATTTTAATGCACTCGAAAAGTTTTTATGTTTGGCGACCAAATCACGAAAATGCCTTTCTGAGAGCCGAGGAAAATGAAGGTGTAGCCATAATACGAAATTGTGTGGTGTATTAAAATTAATAAGAATGGTAGTGTATTCTATATTATATACTATAATACATAAAGGGGGAATTCTCTATACATTCGGAAAGAATGCTGATTGACCTCAGAAAAGGTAAAAAAAAAAAAAACTATCTTATTACCATTATTAATGCGTTTTTTCTTCGTGTACAGGTTTAGGGAAGGGAGATTTTTATCCATGAACACATATGAAAATAACGAAGACAGATCGCTATTTTCCGACAATATATTATACCGCAAGGTTATTATTATTCTCTCTTTTAAATTCTGTCAACTCGAATTTTTAACGTCTTACATGATTCTTTTTATGATTAAAATTCTTTTAAATTTGCTATTATTAATCTTATTTCATGTAATCACATTTGAAACTTTCATTTCCTTACTTAATCACCAAAAATTAAATTAACGAGTTTTTTTTTTATTTAGAGTACATAGACTTCAACTTTTTACGTTAAAATAACGCATTCTTTTATGCATATTAGTTTCTAAATCTCAACTCAATTTCAAAACTGATATTCTTTATAAAGTAATTTTTTTTCTAAGAGACCGGGTTATACGTAATTGCAATTAATTTTTTACTACACAACAACGTGCTGACTTAATGATAATTATGATGCGTGGATTATTTATATATATGGAGAATCATCTCTATAAAAAATTAATTATATAATTATATGTAATAGCATAATTATACACAAAGAATGATTGAATAAGAATTGAACATTTTCATTTAGTGTATGTACATGAAAACATTCAATTCTTTTGAAATCACCGTCCATAGTAATGCGGACTTAATTACGGGGAATAATCGAAATGATGTTAGATAATTATACGGTGCAATCGATTTTTTTCGTATTACTACGCAATAACAATCAAGAAGATTGTCTATTATGCATTTGTTTGCACAATGCAGATTTTCTTTTTATTTATTGTACACTTTATTGCTGCCTATTTTAGCCAGCGCGCCATAATGATAATAATGATAACTATGCGACGTGGTGGGAGAGGTTTCGCTTGTCTCTTATTAAAGAGATTAATTGCAAAGAGCAAATCCTATCGCTCCTTATTAGAGAGAAAAGTAATAGAGAAAAAGGTAGAACTAGAGAAAAAATAAAGTAATAAGAGATAGAAAATATTCTACATTTCCTCCGTCGATAGAAGAGATATTGCCGCAATATCTCATTAACGTCTCCAGAGAAAATGTCTCGCGCGTATTTGTCAGCATAATGATACGTTTCTAATACATTGTTTTCTAATAAGATGTAAACCTTTTCTACTAATGTAAAAAGTGTCTCTCTTCTTTCTATCTCGTAGCACGCTGAAAATCTCTGCGACGGAATCATTTCTATCTCTTAGTATTTTATTCTGATAAACAATTATGTAATGAATGAGCGAGGAAATTCTACACCTGTCTCTGTTAAGCAGAGTATAAGCGCAAAGAAAAATTCTATTCAAGAGAATAGCGGTCGCTTCATTTTAGAGGAAGGATAATAGGAAACTGAATTAGAAGAAATAATAGTAGGAAGTCTTCGTAACAAAATTATTTCATTGTGTGTATTATGTAACATGCAGTGTCGTGCAATAATGATGAGTTTTTCATTTTCACCGTTTCGCTATATATACATTTCGCAGCGAATAATAAAAATGTCTAATTAGACGAGTCAATCGTGACAGATGCGTATAATTTTTGTACTTGTTATATACGTGTTAGTATCGATGACACAATAACTTGTGACGCGAATTTGTCCCCTCCTATTATTATTGATTCTAATTCCACTAGCTCTCTTATTATCGCGCTTTGGACTTTTAATAATAAAAATATATTGCATGTTAAACATGTCGCTATGTGTACAGTGGTTACACGATCGATCTTACAGTTCTATATATGTTATTATAAATAAAACGTTCTTTGTTTTATACGATATTGTTCGTGACGCGATATGATAGTTGTATACATATCGGATGTACGATAAATCAATCTATACCTCTCGAGGGAAAAAGGGCCGATGTCCGCTCCTTCAATTTTTAGAAGCTCCATCTATCGATGTTTATCGCAAAGCAAATGATCAGCCTTTTAGTTTAGTTCAAATACAAGATGTACAATCGAACTGAAAGAAAGAGGAGAGAATCACATTGGATGAATATCGGGATTTTTCACTAACGAAAAACCGAACCAGCGGACATCGGTCCTTTTTCTTCCAAGGTACAAAGATACACACGATCGGCGTGCTCGCCGCTTATCAGTATACGGACATTCTTTTTTCCATATGTTATCTTTCTGTTAATATTTGCGAATTAAATAGCGAACTTTTTGATATGAAAAAAGAAAATGCTTTACGACGTGATAACTCGTTTTATAACTCGCAAATTACAATCATCATGCATACATACATAGACACGTGTCAAATTATATTTACACACAATTATAATTTACGGGTTATAATAAAAATCATATACATTGTTACTTTTTCTATGCGTATCCGTGCGTATACGTTTTCCAACAAGCACACCACATACACATACACACGCGCGCGCGTATTTTTTCCAACGGGTATACTGTATAAGAGAGCGAGAAGAGGTGTAATGTGTATATAAACATAATATATTCGTGTACTCAAAATAAAACGATTGTTACGCAAATGTATTTACCACAGAAAGAGAGAGAGAGAGAGAGAGAGAGAGAGAGAGAGAGAGAGAAAGAAAGAAAGGGGTGGGAAAAAGGTAGAAGAAGGAAAAAAGAAAAAGATGACTTTAGCGACCGAGGCGTCTCCTCGCAATCTGTCAGATTCTCTCTGACCGGTCGGACACCCTGTATAAACTCTCCACGCGCGCTCGATTTGTATGTAGCGCGCGAGCGCGTCCTCCAGGCGTGCGGCAGTGCGGATGCGTGCGTCGCGGCGGTCGAAGGACGCCTACCACACACGTGCGCGCGTATACACACACGCACACACACAGCGGTGGCTGGCGCGCGCAGACATTTGCACACACTCTCTCACACGTACGCCGTTACCCACCGTGCGGCACCACTGCGACACAGTGGTGGACACAGGCGCGCGCGAAGGGCCGGGAGAGGTGCGGTGTCGTGTCGTCCTGGTCGGTGCGCGGTCCCCGTCGCGGCGTCTCTCTCTACCCGCTGCCAGCAGATAGCGAATTCATAAATGCCGGCCAACGGAGGCGGCGCGTCGCGGTTGACGCGCGTCATGCCGCCGCACTACCTGCACGAGCTGCCGGCCCAGGACGAGGAACGGCTGGCGCGGATCTTCCAGCGCCTCGACCTCGATGGTAAAGGCCGCGTCGACGTGCGCGACCTGTCGGCCGCGCTGCGCGAGGTCGGCGTGCACTCCCAGTACGCCCAGGTACACGCGTTATGTATCTACATATATATATGTATATATATATATATCGTTCGTAGTCGCTACGCCGCGAGTCTCGAGTATAATTCGAGCGGCGGAGATGTTGTTGCTCTCTCCTTCTCTTTCTATTCATCTATCTGTCCTTCCAATTATCTCGTTCTCGCTCTCTCGAGTCAATCGAGCTGTAACTTCACCCATCGTCGGTGGTGCGGAGCACGGTAACACCTGGTAACAGGGTCGTTCTTCCCCGCGCTGCGTTACACCCGTTGCACTCGAGAGAGCAATGTATTCGCGTCGGGAGTAAGAGAGAGAGAAAGAAAAATCGCTGGAAGGTGCAGAGAGTGCAGATGCGGAATCCGCTGGGTTCCCGTCGGCCGCGTGCAAACATGTCTCCGGAGGAAGAGGAGGTCGTCGAAGAGAGACAACGCAGGTAGTGCGAAGCGTCTCCGAGACGACGGCGGTTCGACCGCTCCGAAGTAGACTCTCGTGGAAGTCGGGCGCGATCGACCAATGCCGATCGAGAATTCTCGGGAACGCAGGACCGCCATTTTGAAATTCCCGAGTGTGATTGGTCGACTCGCGCGCTGTTCAAGTTGCTACACTTCGCGCTGGGAAAGTGGGCGACGTGCACCGCGGTGCAAGTAGGTCGACGTGAAAAAGTGCGTGTCTTTTCGCTAGGCGATTTCTAAGGCTTCCATGAAGTCGACGAGAGGTGATCGACCTTGGCCCTATAATGTCGCCGGCGAAATCATATATATATTTCTCATACATATCGTCACTGTCACGAGATTTGATTTGATTACTCCGAATTACGACAAGCATGTCTCCTTCGTCGCTTCAATCGGCCGCGTTCTTTCTTTCCGCAGAAATTTTTAGCCCGGTCGGACCGCACGAAGAGCGGCGACATCAGCCTGGCAGAGTTCATTCATTACGTGCGGGAACACGAGAAAAATCTGCGGCTGCAGTTTTCGCATCTCGACAAAAATCGAGACGGTGAGTACCATCGGCCTGGGTGTGGGGTGAAAGTAAAGGGGAGGGGAAGAATTTGAAGAAAGTTTGCGCGTTAGAAGAAACGTTCTTTTTTTTCCCTTCCGACAGAATATATCGTATTTGACGTGTCTTCCTCTTTCGTAGGCAAGATCGACCTTGAGGAACTGATAAACTCCTTCAAAGAACTGGGCCTCGAGATCTCGCGGGAGGAGGCGACGAAATTGCTGCAACGGTAAACGCCACCTGTCAATTGCCGATTAATCGACGATAACGACTTGACAAAATCACTTTAATTCTTCGATTTCGATCCTCTCCCTTCGTTTTTCGTCCACGAGAATCCAGCGTGCCTGGCACGGAGATTTTCGTTTGATTATTCAATCGTTTCTTTCAGCACGCATACGTGCTCATTTCCTATCGGCTCTTCTTTCGGTCAATCGCTGCATTAATCGTTCTCTCGCAAAAGCCCAATTACCCACGTATTATTCCTCGCAGCATGGATCAGGACGGCAGCTTGAACATCAGCTTCGACGAATGGCGGGACTTCCTTTTGTACGCGCCGAGCAGCACGCTGCGCGACATCATCGAGTACTGGCATCACACCACGGTGAGATATGCCGTTTCAAGGTTGGAAGATCGCGCCGGTCGTCGCTTTAAACCCAAATAGGTTTAAAGCCGGCGGGCTTCGCGCGGAATGAACACCCGGACGGAGTCGACTTTGACCGCGCGCACGTCCGCTCGTATACTTAACCGATGACGCTCGCAGTCTTTCCTACGTAGAGCAACGAGGAGAGAGGGGGGAGAACAAGCGCGAAAATGCACGCAGAACCATGAGGAGGAGGGGGGGGGGCGGCACGGGCATTCCCGTCTCGGAGAAGAGAGGAGGGAGAGAGGCCGGTATCTCCGGGTTCACGCTCTCGAGAGTTCGAGCCAGTCTCGTGATCGGACTCCGAGCGTTCGAATCGCCGGTTCGTGGCTCGTCCCCCTCCCTTCTTCTTCGTCCTTCCGCAGCAGCGAGCGAGCAAGGGCTGCCGTCGACCCGCCGATTGTTCTTAGTTCTCCTTCCTCGGTGTCCTCGGTGCGGTTCGAACGAACCTCCTCTCTCTCGGTCCGTTTCGCTCTTCACGTTCCTTCAGCTTCCACCGCCAGCCTGGATAGGATCACTTCTCGACGACCTTTAGAGATGGCTGGTTCTCGACGATAGATCAAGAGCAACCCGGTGGGAGAGAGAAAGAAGGGATTTGTGAAACTTCGAGCTCTCGTCGATACGAGAGATAGAAAGTGCGAAAGTTCTCGCGAGAGAGCACGCTCGGCAATTTCACAACGTGCCAGCGAGCGGCAACCGTCGGAGTGAGTGGGAAAGGAAGCAAGGATAGAAAGAGCGAGCGAATGAGTGTTTCGTGCACGGGCCACGTGATTATTCCGAGCATGTACGCCCTGAGGAAGCCCGAAATTCTGCAGTATGACGGTGGCATCGCGTCCGGTTATCAGGTGTGCGGCGACTTCCTGCGGGTCTATCATGAATTGCTGCAACGGGTATGTGAGTGCGCCCTCGTGGCCGTCGAAAGTCAACCTTTTCCTAACCTTGTCCGTCCTTCCTGGCTGCACTAGCTTGAGAAATTTACGCACACTCGAGAATCTCGTACGTACGTTTCGTACGCTTCAATGTGTGCGTACAGTGCTGGACGAGAAGGTTGCGATATTTTTCAGCTTCGCAATGCATTTCGTACCCAGTGGGAAAATGTATTTTCTCGGATAAAGAAATAGATTCTCCCATTGGACGCGTTCCGAAACTCGACCGATAAGAGCGTCGTAACCGTCCGACGATGTGTTCCTTTTAACAGAATCGGATGCGTTGCTTCGAGAAATTTACACACACACATCGAAGCTTACGTGCGAGCTTTTCACGCTTCAGCGCGTATTTCCGGAACTAATGCAGCAAATTCAGGTGGAAAGGACGAATCGCAAGCTGTACATTTCTCGAACTGGTGCAGCCGGTTCAGCCAAAAAGAACAGACCGGAATTATTAGCTCAGGATCACTTCTTCCCCATTGCATTTGGGACGGTCAGGCACTTTGAATCTCTGTCCGATCGTCGTCTTAATTCTTCTCATATTTATCGTTTCGCCGTTTGCCTGTTTCCACCGGAATGTCAACAACAATCCGAGCTCTTACGAGAGACGCAATCATGACGAATGATTGCGAAAGGTTGCGTTATACTTGCCCAATTGTGCGATCGCTCCTGACGCTAATCAACTTACCTCTTGTTGACTTACGTCACGAGCTCATTTGTAATTAGCCTTTGCGTTTATTATCTATATAGATAGTGAATAGAAATTTCCATACTCGCGGCGGTACATATAAGCCGGTTTTTTCCTGTTCCTCACAAACGCGCGTTGTTTACGGATTCGAACTTCTCGTTGAAATATTTCCAAATCCAGTTCGGAGATGTAAATTTCCTTTCTCTTCCTCACGTCGGTTACATTTAAATCTGAGTGCGCATGCGAAGAGAAAGGAAATCATACGAAAACATCGGGGAGAACGAAGAGAATCGTCCAGCAAGGCTATCCGATAAAAATAACAAAGGCGTCGTGGATGGCAAGCATTGTTAGGTCAGGTCTGGTCAGGTCAAGTTAGGTAGAAACCATATGATTGAAGGAAGTGCCACAGTGTCGTCACGAAGGCAAATATCGGCGGTGTGAGAGAGAAAGAGAGAGAGGAGAGAGAGAGAGTGACTCATGATGAATGAGTACTTCAAAAATTCAAATGATTCTTGTAACAGATGCGTAATCGCTGACGCGATAGCAGATCATCTAATGGAAATACTTGGCTGAAAGTATAACAAAAATGTATTTGAAAATCTCGCTCAATCGGATCTGTTATTCATTATTATTCGATATAATAATCAACATTTCAGTGAAAACAATCACTTTAATTGATATTTTAGCTAAATTTTGCCTTAAAAATCCACGTAATTAGCAGATATACAAACGTATTAGTAATTTTTATATCTATCTTAAAATTCTCTTGTTACTTTTCAACAATATGTTTTTCATTACGTATCATATTGCATTTGATAAGGAAAATAATGATTCGTTTTTGCGTTCCGTAATTTTCCAATAACTTAAAATTCGCTTCTCCTGGATTTCGATACTCTCAGCAAAGTGTTTCCGTCAGCCCCCTCCATCCCCTCCGAGAAATTTGGCGTGGATCCTCGGCGGAGTTTTTTATTTTCGCGATATCTCCGTCGTTTATCCAATTCCGGGATGTCGGCCGAAGAGCGGGCAATTTCTATTCGCATCTGGCACGTCGCCCGGGCGGGACTGCGGCGAGAAGATGCCGCGCTCGAGGCTCCCCGGATGATCTCTCTTCGGCTGCATCAAGACTCGTCATCACCATGTTTTGCGACTCCTTATTTGCAAATTCATCTTTGTCTCATGCGTGTCTGCCGTGATTATTGCGACAACACTTTGATGGCTCGACGTCAATGATTTCGCGATAAGGTCGTTACGTCACGCGGAGTTATGTTCGCCGTTCTTGTGAAACTTACGTATAAAAAACAGTTTCATGTGGTAAATTCAAGGATAGTTTTCTTTTTGCGTAATTCCTATATATATGTATATATTCATACATATATGTGCATTTTTTGTGAAAACGCGCTCGCTCCTTGACGAATTAACATGCGTTCTTTTTCTTTAACGCGACAACTTTCTTGCGGAGCGGCTTATCGTCGAGTCCGCTCGAGACGTTACATTACACGTCGCGATACTTACTGACATTTTATCACGATCGATAACCAAGCGATCCCATGACGCGCACACTGGGTGTCCGATAATTCAGACGGCAACAATCGTCGGTCTTATCGCGTTGTACTATCGATCCGGCGTTAACTGCTCGCACGGACACGTTATAAAGGTCGCAAAAAGAATTTTGCAGAGCTGATAATCCGTTCGAAAAAGTAGCCGATTTCCGGCAAAGGGGAAAGATAAATGTCGACATGAACAAGATAGCGATCTATCGATATAATTTTACGTGCGGCGATAATTACTATTTAATCAATTGCATGAGATAAGAATAATAGCGCGCAACGTGTAGAAATGTTGCGAGATTTCTCTCAGGTACATGCACACAAATATAAGCTCGAATATGCCTATGTAATTTTCTGTTTTTTTCCTTTTCGTCCTTAGTACATGGATATCGGGGAGGATATCGGCGTCCCTGAGGATTTCACAAAGGGCGAAATGAAGTCGGGGATGTGGTGGCGTCATTTACTGTCCGGTGGCATCGCCGGCGCTGTTTCTCGTACCTGCACCGCCCCCCTAGATCGCATCAAGGTCTACCTGCAGGTAAGTGTTCAATTACTCGATTAGATTTGCAGTGAAATTCAATCTCCAATCTTTAATTTGATCTCTTGACTTTTCTCCGCCAGGTATATACTATGATTGTATCTAATATGTATATTGTCATACAAAATAGAAGTATATATACATATATACATACATACATACATACATATATATATATATATATATATACATATATATGTACAAAATATAGAAACACAGATTTCCTAGAAATTATCATGTATTGTATATTGTTTTGCGACAACGATGAGAATAATGTACCTCATTTGTGTTTCATATATATTCTTTGTTCACGTGCTACGTCACAGTCTAACGAGAACGAAAGCGCGTATGGTAAAGAATAGATATCGAGCGGCGTGTGAGAGTGGTATAGTTTGGTTTGATTTGACGAGAACGGAGAACGTACGATATGCACGGTTGCAGGTCCACGGCACACGACACTGCAATATCATGAGTTGCTTCAGGTACATGGTGCGCGAGGGCGGCCTGCCCAGTCTATGGCGCGGTAACGGCATTAACGTGCTCAAGATCGCGCCGGAGTCGGCGCTCAAGTTCATGGCGTACGAGCAGCTGAAGAGGGCCATCAAGGCAAACGACGATAGCCGCGAGCTTGGCTTGGGCGAGCGCTTCTGTGCTGGGTCCTGCGCTGGCGGCATCAGTCAGAGCGCCGTTTACCCCCTCGAGGTAAATTTCTCTTCCCTGGAAACACCGGCTGTTGTTGCCCGTCGTGTGATGAAAAAGAACAAAGTAACACGGCGTGATATTACAGGTGCTGAAAACGAGGCTGGCGTTGCGGAAAACCGGCGAGTTTAACGGCATGATCGACGCGGCCAAAAAGATATACAGACAAGGTGGTTGGAGGTCCTTCTACAGAGGCTACATTCCTAATTTGATCGGGATTATTCCATACGCCGGCATCGACCTTGCCGTTTACGAGGTGGGCCATTAGATATGTTTCACTCATTGCGAATCCGATCACCCAAGCTACCGAAGGCCGCTGTACATGGTTATTTCAATGAAAAACCATACGAGTATCTTGAATTGTTGTGCTAAACGCTTAATCATATTTTCACGTGTAGACAACTTTGACCTCCACGTTAAGTCGTTAGCAGACAAAATATAGTAAAATAATTTATCGCTCATTCGTGTATTCTTTTATCATGTTTACGACATTTTTTTTTCCTAAGCCTTGTTGGCCCGATTGCACTACACACACACACACACACACACACACGCGCGCGCGCGCGGCGTTATCGTGAGTATATTAGAAAAATGTTAGGAAAGAAATATCGGGTAATAAAAATGCTCAAGTTAATACAAACAAATTCGGTAACAATAATGTGATTTCGATAAGAAATGTAAAATGTTGCCAAGAGTTGTATTTTATTAGTTTCACGATAAGCTGCAGCGCGGGTGATCGAATTCGCTGTTAAATTCCGACGAGGAACGTGAGGAAAGTTGAACCTCAGTTCTCCACTCACGTCCGATTTCTTCCCTCCCGTAGACGCTGAAGAACCGAATCATTCTGCATCAAGCGCTCGCTTCTCTCTCGTACGACCAGAAAGAGAAGAAACCGGCGTTTTGGATCCTGCTGCTCTGCGGCACTCTGTCGAGCACCGCAGGCCAGGTGTGCTCATATCCGCTCGCGCTCGTGCGCACGCGTCTACAGGCGGAAATAGCGACCGAACGCGGCGCACCTCAGACGATGATCAGCGTCTTCAAAGACATCCTTAGTCGCGAAGGCGTGCGCGGCTTGTATCGCGGACTTACGCCCAACTTTCTCAAGGTAATTGTGTGATTTCTTTCACGGCGAGTCACCGCTCAGGTCCACCGAAATATTTGCATAAGGTCAACCTCTTAAAAGTCAATGATATCAACATATATTGGCACGTATTGATGTATGTCGTGAAGAATGCAGTCCCGAGCACCTTGCAAAATGTTTCACTCGTTCGTTGTTTATTAAAAAAAAAAGTCATTAGCAGAAGAAGTTTGAAGAACAGAAGGTAATAATCTTGACAAAACGGGGTCTATGACTCGACATGTATTGTAGAAGTCATTCTAAATAATCTTCGGAAGGTTTTAGTCGTCGGTCATTGCTTATTAAAAAGTCACTAACGAAAGAAGTTTGAAAAGTAAAACGTTTACGTAAATATTTATCATAAAATCTAGCGACATGAAATTGTTTACTTTGTAATAACACGTGTCTTTGTCTCTCTTGCACAGGTGGCACCCGCAGTGTCGATTAGCTATGTGGTGTACGAGCACTTCCGGCATGCATTGGGCGTCAACATGACGTGATAAACATGCACACTAGGCCATTTTTATTAATTAACTCAATTAATTTATTCCCCCCTCTTTCTCTCTTTGTATCTATCTCTCTTTCGCTCTTCACTTATCACACACACAGTGATAAATAAATGAGGAAGCGCGTGTTCGCTCGATCGTTGATTCATTTCTCGTCGAAGATGAAGAAGAAAAAGTGGAAGATGTAAGTCAATGACAATGAAGACGATGATGGTGAAGATGATGATGGTGATGATGATAGTGATGACATGAAGGAGAAGAAGAAAATAATGGCGCTTATATTTATTATTATTACCTGCTAACTCGAAGCATCGTATCCTTCAAGCCATGAACCTAGGATGAAAAAAAAGGCCAGTTCTCGATTAATTATTACCATTTAACGAAGAAACACGTCCTGATTTTAACGGTAACATTCGAGTCGTCGAGAGAAGAGCTTATTATTAAAATTTTCCGTATGTGAGGATAGAGAAACAGATTTGCACATTCCACTTTGATTTTTGGCGACAATAAGAGAATTGAAAATTTAAATTAATATTGTAAAATTACACATACACACACAAATTTACATTTTTCTGCGTAAAAAGAAAATTGCTACACGAAAAACTGCCTTTTCATAAGTTCCGACTCGAATGTTTCCGGAAATATGTTCCGTTACAGTACATGTAAAAATATCATACACGTGTAAAAATGCAATGTGATGTAACGCGATATAACCGACCTGAGACAACGTAGGATTTCGTTACAACCGTGGTTTCTTGTTTCGAAGCTGGAAAGATCGCGAGTTGTATACCGACACTGTGATACGTATATTATAACTATACGAGCTGGATACTTTTTTTTTGTATGCTTTAGTATGCAGCACAATGTTTTTTTTGTGTTTACTATCGCGCCCGATGTCTTGTGAACGAGACGACAAAAAAGTAGCGAGCAAAATCATGTTCAGAATTCACATAGAATATTTTCTTACGCGTTCGATTTCCCTTTAGAGAAAAGCTACTACTGGTACGAAGGGTGTATGCATGCAGCTCAAATACAAATACAGAAAATTCGTTAAATTAAACTTCGAAATGAAACCGAATTAAAGCTGAGAAGTTTAGATTTTTTTTTTTTTTTTAATATTAACGACTATGTCCGATTTTCGCGAATGTACGTGAAAACTCGTTGAAAAGAATAAATATGAAATCTTGGAGTCGAATTAGATACAACAGATCCTCGGAATTTCTTGGTCAAGTCAACCAATTAATTTTCCACCTATTCGAAGGTCTCCGTTTGAATTATGTGAAATGTTATTATTCGTCCCCCTTTTTTTTTATTACAATTTTACGTAAATGGTTGTACACTATCGTAGTTTTCCTGAAAATATCAAAAACATTTTTCTCGGAGAAAATTAGACTTTTTTTCTGTATATATTGCGAAAATTTAATGATAGATTTTTATAAATATACCTATGAGAATTATAAAAAAATGTGTATGTGGCGTGCATGTGCGAGTGTATGTGTGTGTATACGTATATATACATACACATATATATATACATATATATAATATATAAATATATATATGTATATATGTATTTTCATAATGTAGATTAAAAATACCTGGGATATATATGAGAACAATATATTAATTTATGTATTTATGAATTTCCACAAATCTCCGTACACTCGATTTAGTTTTTTAGATTTCGAGTTTTCTCTGAGAAAAAGGCAACGCGTATACTTGCTTTTAACACGGTTTTGACGGTTTTCCTCCTCGATGTCGCTTGGAGCCTAGTCGATGATCTGATAACAGAGAGTTTTTCCGGGAATTAATAAAAACAGACGGTATCCGGAAAAAACCCGTTCAAACCGTGTCGTGAAACCAAGCGTGCATCCTCGAAAAGACAAAGATGTATCTATATTATTGATTCGCGCTTATTTCCCCTCCGAGACACCGTGTATATAATAAAATATAGGCTCTTGACGCGTGCACGGTATCAGGACTGAGTAGATTAGCATTAATAAAGAACACCGTGTTTGTATGTATATACATATGTATGTATGTATGTATGTATGTATGTATGTATGTACACACGATCGACAAAGCTTTGAAATTTCCCCATGCCCTNCCCCCCCCCCCCCTCTCTCTCTCTCTCTCTCAATGTATATATTAATAGTTACGTATTGTCATTAAAGCTATTATTTAATAAGAGTATATTTAGGAACAGAATTTTTTCTTAAATAAAGACATTCTTGAATGCTATCTCTTTTGGATCACTTTTCTATAGAAAAGTTTATAGAAGAGGATTCCAATATTACTAGAGTTCATTGGCTCGGGCCATCTGCGTGCGTGTGCGTGTATGTAAATTATAAAATGTGTAATACACACATATGCACGCATAATGTTCTATTTCAACCGACGAATACTTATACACCCTCCGAAAACTGCCCGTATATGTGCGTCCGCGCGGAACACCTACAGCTGGCATTACATAGCTTACATCGACAACGATTTTACTTACACAGAGTCACACGAGCTCCCTTGGTACTTATTCCAGATAAGACACGTTACGATGAAAAATAAACACGTTGCTGAGAAACTGGAAGATATTCGAATTGTAATGTTTCGTTCAAATTATGCCTTCAAACTTGTTCTCTATCTGAAACGCAAAACAGTTCAGTTGCGCTGCTGAAAGCTTCGTCCGCGCCGCCGTTGAGTCGTACTACTTAAAATTGCGGCTTGACTGACTTATCGTTGACTCACACTACTTTCTCTTTTTTTTTTATTGCAAGTAAAGGGTGTACAAAAAGGAGTACAAGGTCTGGGAACTTAACCCATCCGACCCGTGAGCGCTATAGTATTACAATTTGTCTGAATGGATTACATAGTTTTGGTGTCGATGAATAATAAAATTTTATTAATAGTCTTATAAATTAATTGTTGAGTGTCTAACTGGTGGTGGTTGTATATGCCGGGGGGGGGNGGGGGGGGAATTGTGTAATAAGCGATAAAACGGGAGAAAAAATAAAGAGGAAAAGAAGTACGATTACACATCCGCTGTCGCTTACTATAACGCTTGTGTTTGTCGAGTCACCGAAGGAAAAAAAAAAGAAAAAAAGAAAATTCCATATGGAATAAATTGTAGGGGTTTTGGTGACTCTTGAGTTACGAGTTAAACGATCTTCGCCTGGTACAAAATGAAAGAAACTACTTTCTCATTTGGCCGGTAGGAACGGTGGTGACTCGTAGCGGAGATTTTCGAACTAAATTTCTAAACAGCTACACGTTTGAGCCTTTGGCTGAACGAAGGTTCGAGTCTCGGCTAAGTTGTCTTTATCGGAATCGAAATGAGTTTTTTTAATCGTCAAATTCTTATCGATCATCGCGAATTTCAAGGCAACTTTTCAAGTTGGATCAGAACGGACTCCAAAGAAGTTCAAACAATGTACAAATATCGTGTAATTTTCTCATCATATTTATTGCTTCTCATAGCAGTTTTCTAATTTTTCTTCAATATTACGTTTTCGACGATGCCTGAAAATTGTCCGCGTACGGCAGAAATCCGCAATCAACAGCGTGCACTATCATATCCGCCAATCTTCGTCTTCCACTCGCCGTCTCGATATTGAAAAATTTCACCGCTTCGCTGAGATCTACGTCCTCGTCGTCGAGGAACTTGTCGTCCAGATCGATCGACGGAGACACCTCCAGCAAACTTAACGGTATAATTTCCAGCGAGGCGAACAAGCCGAAGAAAAATTGCTCCTTCACCTGGAATTAACACGGACACGGTTGCACAACGTGCCGCCTTTAATATACAAATTAATTTCCACAATACGCGAAATATAGGATGTTCCAAAAAATGTATACATGCAGACGGAACGGCCGTTACTTTGAAAACAGGCATCGACGAAAAGAAATGATTCAATAAACTGCATGTCGACGAACGCTGACTTTATAATCATTCAAAGCGTGCGTACGTTTTTCGGAACGTATATTTTACCTCCTTCAGGAACAAGTTCCACGGGTAAACGCGCTCCGGGTCGGATCCGAGTGATTTAACGCCGTCGCTCAGCTCGGAGTGATATATTTTCAACATATCGTCGAAGTGTTGATCGCGAAACGTCTTGTCGGTGCAGGAATAAATCAGGAACGACAAGTCCGTGACGGGGCTGGCGCAGCGCGAGATCTGGAAGTCCAGCATGAGCGCCTCCTTCAGACCGGCTCCTCCGACGTCCCGGACGAGGAAGTTCGGTGGCCAGCAGTCGCCCTCGCATACGACTGATGTTGGTGCGTTCTTTCTGCCGCACAATTCTGCACACTTGTCGTAGAGGGCGCCGAATCTGTAGGAATTGAAGCACCTCTCGGCCTCGCTGCCGGGATACTCGCTGTTTAACGCGTGTCTCGCCACGTCCAGTAAGTTTTTCTGCAAAAACGGCGCTTGATTGCAAGAAAGTTTGGCGATTTCTCTCAGCGAACGTCACTCACGTGGTAATTCTTGAACCCATCCCAGTAATCCTTGCCGAAGAAGATCTCCCTCAAGTGGCTGACTATCTCCGCGAACTCCTCTTCCCTTTGATCCTTGTGGGCGAAGGAGATCGCGTGGAACTTCGCCATCGTCTTCAGGATCACCGTGCATTCTGTAAGGTCTAAGCAGCTTCGTCGCGACGCCGGCCCGAATCCCAAACGCGAGGCGTCCTCCAAGACCAAGAAGTCGTTCTCACCGTCCGTGAAGGAGGCCAGGTAACGCGGGATGCTCAGAAGATGGCTCTGCCCTTTGTCCGCTAAGAATTTCTTGAACCTGGACGCCACCTGCGGAGAGAGAATTACGTGCTTCAAGCGGAGAGAGGAAAATGTTCGAGTTACGTGTAGCACAGAAGACTCCACCAATGCAGTCCCATCTTCTAGGACGATTGATTGTTTGATGAAACAATGCTCCATAGCAGTCATGTTTTCCAAAATTATATCTCTAAATAATACGCCCGATTGGAAATTTCCAGTGAAGTAAAAGATATATGTAATATATTTCCTAAGTTGCCTGTAAGATCAATAAAAAGCCAGTGAAACGAAGTAAAAAAAAAAAAATATATATATATATATATATATGTAAAATAATAATATATATAATAATATATAAAATAATAAAAAAATATATTTTTTACTATTTTTTACTATATAGTTTCACTGGCTCTTTATTGACTTTACAGGCGACTTAGGAAATGCATTATTAAATACTTTCCGCTCGATAAGACACAGTAGCAAATCATAGCGCTGGTCACCACGGCTGCGAAATGTCAACAGTCTTCAGTACAGACACGCTCGTTCAAAGCGAGTAAAACTAGGTGGAAAGCCTTGCCTCGGTATAGAAAACGATCTCGTTGCGGAAGAAGTCGGCGGATCGCATGGTCTTCCGTCGGCGGGGATTCTTCGGCATCGCCTTTACGACAAAATTCGCCTGCACGCGACGTCGCTGCCCCAGTTTGCCGCCGACAACGCCGCTCACGCTGCCCTTATTGATGCTGGAGGTGAAGTAGTCGCCTTTGGCGAAGCCCTCGTCGAAACTCCAATCTATCAGCCGCACTTCTCCCTCGCTCTTACACACTTCGGCGAGGATACCGGCCAGCACCTCCTCCGTGAACTTGTCGCTCACTGCGTTCAGGTCGACGCGCTTCCCCTTCCCCTCGCTCATCGTTCCCCTCCCGGCCTTGTAAATCCGCGAGTTAATCGAGAATTTCCTGTTATTCGTTAATCGCCTCGTTGTTCGGTTTCGCTCGATACGGTAAATACCGTGCGTAAATTATATTTATAATTATATTTATAATATAATATAAATATATGCGCGAGGTCAATGCATCGTCAATACACACACGCGGAATATTCTCAAAAGATTCGATATTAATATGAGTATTTTTAATCGACGAATCGATATATAAGAAACGCGAAGCCGAAGCCTCAGAACGGAGTAACGAGCGACTCTTTGCTCTTTTACTGTTTCGTCTTTTATATGCTTCTTATCTCGCTCTTTATCGGAACAGTTAGACGTCTTGTTGTTGGCCACGAAAACAAGGAACTCTTGCGATTCCCGTACCTTATCGTGGAATTCGAGCTGTAAGACCAGATTTATGGCGCGTGTAAATTCTGATTTTCACTCGCGCCAAGAGAGAAGCGTCAATCAAGCGCGTTGAAATATAGGGTGTCCCAAAATTCACGCAAGAAGTAATTTTGATAGAAAACACAGGTTTATTATTAAAAATTGTAAATTTTTTATTGATTCATAAAGTATACAGTATAGGGTTAAGTATGGAATAGCATATCGGGTAAATGGCCTCCACGGCTTTGTTGGCACACGTACTCTTTTGTTGAAATTTTCCATGACCGTTTCGCATAAATGTGGCTGAATTTCGTTGATACAGCGCTCAATTTCCTCCTTCAAGACGTGGATGATCATGGGCTTGTGGGCATAAACCTTAGACTTTAAAAAACTCCAAAGAAAAAAGTCCAACGGCGTTAAATCGCATGATCTGAGCGGCCAATTTTGATCACCAAAACGGGAAAGGAAATGACCACGTGAGAAAACATATACTTGTCTCGCTTCAACTTATTGCACTAGTTCAGCGGTGCAGCGAAACAGATCTATTGAATTGTTTCTTGGGCTGTATGGAATGTGGCACCGTTTTGTTGAAACCACATGTCGTCCACATCCATATGTTGCAATTTAGGCACAAAAAACTGGATTATCATGTCGCGATAGCGAGTACCATTAACTGTTATTGCCTGACCAGCCGCATTTTCGAAGAAGAATGGTCCGATGATGCCTCCAGCCCAAAATCCGCACAAAACAGTGACACGTTGTGGATGCAAGATCACCAATTGATTCAGTGTCTCCTTAAATTTTTTAATTAATCTCTTCGCAGCTGATGAAGTTAAATCACTATTCCGACTATATTTTGTACGAAAATTGCGAACTGTAGCTGCCAAACCTTCATTATTTTTCAAATATTGTTGAATAATGAAAACGTGTTGTTCTTTCGTGTAGCACTCCATTTTTAATAACCCTGAACTGTCAGCTGTCACGCTGTCTTCTTTTTTCGTTGGCAACATTTTACCGCACAAATGGCGCAAAATTCAAATCTTGCGTGAATTTTGGGACACTCTATTCAACCACGTGCGCAAGGAATGTCGGGAAGCAGTAGCAGAAAGGGTCATTTAACAACTACGTCACACTACGAGGGGGGGGGGGGTTCTATTACCGTGCATGACGGTTTTAGGAAGGGGGTAAAAGCCATCAAACATCACATCAAGGCACACGGAGCTGATTTTCATGCCGGAAAGGTAAGGAAATCTAGCAACGTAATATGTGGAGACGGAATGGGGGATAATTCTGCGTGTTACGTAATATTGAAAGGGGATCGGAATATTTTCCGACGGAGGGAGGGGGAAAAAATCCTCATATTTCGCGTGACGTAGCTGCTAAACAGCCCCGGCGGCGGTACAATAAAAGAAAATCATAATATGCATACATAACTAACACAATTATATTTATATATTACAATATAAAATTTGTTTAGAAAACCTAAATTCGGAAACGTTTCTTTTCTTTCCTCCGTTTCGTTTTTTGCCTAGCGCGTCGACGGGATCTCAGATCGCCGCGACGCGTGTCTTAATTTAAAACATTAACTTCTCGTTTAAAGAAAAAAAAAAAGAGAAAGATAAAACAACGTACAAAAGAGAGAGAAGGAAAAAGAAACGAGGAATACGTTCGAGGCGTTTTCGGCATGCGCGAGAAGAACCACGCTTCGCGACTGGAAAGAAGAAAAAAAAAAGAAACTCGCGCTCGAAAGACAGACGTGAGACTTTTCGCAAAAAAGCTTTTATTTACATTTGTTTCGGTTCGTTTTTAGCGCCTAGGTGAATTTATATAATTGCAATAAAATCCCACACACAAATCGATCTCGCACTCACACTGATCATCTCTCTCACCTGCCGTGGAATGTGTTTCGCATTTAATAAATACAGCTTCTGAGATAAATTAAAATACAAGTCTTGCGCGTTCCCCCCCTTCTTTCTTCCTTTTCTTTCTCGTTTTTTTTTCTTTTCGTTCCTTTTTTTTACAACCGAGAGGCGTGTAAATTCCAATGCGTCGGACGGAAAACCCGGAGTCCCCGGATTCCGTCGTAACAGTAGATTCACTCACGACGAGCCCGTACACCTTATTTACAATGTTCATATATAAACATATACATTGCGACCGCTTAAACCTATCGATATACGAAGTGAAAGGTAAAAAGTACTATTTTGTACCTTAAGACTGTCTGACAAATAAAGTTAAAATGCTGGCCAGTTTGTGTCGGTGTGACGTTAAGTCGCACTTATGTCAATCTATTCTACAACGGGTAGATAGCGCGCGTTTTTCTGCTCTCTCTCTCTCTCTCTCTCACTCACTCTCCCTCTCTTCAAACATCTCCCTTCTTTCCGTTAAAATGTAATAAATCATTGACACCGGAGAGTCGCGATTCGTAAAGAACTGAACGGCTTAAAAAACCTAAAACGCAAACATCCGGAAATTCTTAATTCCTAACCTTAGTTATCGCTAATTAAATCGCGCGTACCAAGTTGGACTGAGTGATAAATTATCGTCGACTGTACAAACGGCGCTTTCAGCTTGACAGAGAATCACATGACGTAATAAGTCTCGGAACATAGCTACGTCCCGGTGTCGCTTCTTCCGAGAGTTCCATCGTCACTTATCAGCGTCGGTTTCGAAGGTTTGGACCTCGCGCGCGCGATTTCTCGTAAAAAATATACACCCTCCTGCCGGTCGCGTGAAGCTGCCTGACGATGGCGATGATAATGATGACGAAGTCACATCCACGAGAAGTCTCAACGAAAGGGGGAATAAGTACCATCGGTCGGCCGGGTGATCACTCGAGAGTGCTTCAACGACTTATATCGAGACTACACCGTAAAACAACGAGCGCATTAGGATTATCGAGACTCTCGCTCGTCGCGAGAGTCGCTCTGTCTTTGTCTCTGTCTATTATCGTCGCGCGGTAGGCGAATAAACTAGCAACATTTTCCCTCAGTTTTCTCTCCTCCCCTCTGCCGCAAACAGCACACGCGAGATTATTAGGACTGATTCGAAAGTCCACTCGTTTCCAAATACCCAAATACGTTCCACAGCCGGCGGTATTCGGTGTTTAGTACCTTTAATAGTTCGAACGTAAAATCGGAAGCGTTTCTCTCTCTCTCTCTCTCTCTCTCTTTCTACACGTACTTCCTTTGCGTACGGAGACACTTTATTTACTTTCGGCTCTCCCCTTTTTCCCTCCTGCCTCCTTCAATCACATGAATCTTAATAAGTACCAAGTGCCCTAATGTAAGATCAAGTTTCGTTATACCCTGAAACTACCCACATAACCAGGTAGAGGAACCCCGAAAACGAGTTCGCCGTATACGTTTTACTCGCTTCACCTTCTTCTTTTTTATCGAGAGGATCGAAATAAATATTTATTTAGGTGTCGTACGGCGGAGGCTTGGCTCGGACGTCGATGCGAAAGCGGTAGAACGGGAATGGCAATTAGGTGTCTATACACAAGGACGTATCTTACATAGAGTACGAGATAAAATGAGTTTCTCGAGTTTAGACCGAAGTTTGCGAGGGGCGACGACGATATCCCGCGAGTGTCGATATATACTATGTGTTTCACCGATGACGATCAATTACGTCTGCAACAGAACAGGACGATGGTTGTAATAATCATACATTACTCCAGCTCGTCATTCGAATTTAACCCTTAAATGCATCGTATGATTTTTTAGCTCATATCTCGATAAATAGCAACCCTGTATAGAATTCATTCAAATTATTTTATTTAAAAAATTAAAAATCATGCATTTAAGGGTGCAACAGTCGCTGCCGTTGAACTAAATTATCTCGAGTGCAGATATGTTCAAAAAAAATCTCTCTCTCTCTCTCTCTCTAATATTATATTATGCCCGAATTTACACGAGAGTATGTAATTCCATCCATTATATATATATAATCTTGGAAGAAAAAAAATCTCTCTCTCAGAAGGGGTAAATACAATAGAATTATTAAATAAAAATATATATATAAATAATTATTGGATAGAATTATTAGATAGAAAATAAATATATATTCTATCCTATAATTCTATATGTGTGTGTAATATATCTGTCAATTGTAATCCCTCCGTCTCTGGAGACGAAAACGAGGTTTTCGGCCCGAGACGATCGAAAGGGCAACTTGGCGCGGTAAAATAAGTTGTCCTAACAAAACGCGCGACAAGGACCGAAAAGGTCTGGCAGACTGTGTCTCTCTCTCTCTCTCTCTCTCTCAGACGAGATTTCGTCGTGTGTGGACCTACCGAGAGTCAACGAGGGACGCGCGTTCTATTGATCGCGCGTGTTGGCACAGCCCTTTACGTGTTGTTGTAAAGCTGATGGTGGGTCTGACTCGGATGCGAGTGCTGGTGTTGCTGATGGGGATGCTGCTGGGGATGCCTCGCGTTGTATCGCACGCTGCCAGCGAGCGAGCTGCCCCTGCCGTGAGTGCCGACCATGCTCTGCGTGTCGGACAGCTCGTCCTCCTCCGCGCCCAGGCTCCGGAACCTGACGAAGCCATCCTCGGCGACTAGCATCGTCGAGCCGGTGGTGGGAGCCTGCTCGTGCAAGCCTTGAACTGGCGTGTGCCTGCCGCGAGTCTCAGAGTTCCTCAGCGTCTGTATGCCGTTGCCGTGGCGGCTGAGGGAACCCCGACCTTCGTGAGGGAAGTGGCCCATCGTACCCGACTTGCGGATGGAATGTCTCTCGAAGGTACCTGCGGAACCAGCATTGCGTCAATATCCGTCCGGAGGATAAAGGACGGATTTCAGGAAAAAAGCGTCTTCGCGTACCTGATATGTTCAAGTGCTCGGGCAGGGTGTTGAGCGGGAAGCTGTCGTCGTAGACCTGCTTGCCCGTCCGCATGGTGTAATTCTGAATCGCCTGGTTGGTGCTGCAGATCGCCGGGTACAGCACGTCGTCCATGTTCTCCGTGGAGGTGGAGCTGCCGCAGGGGAAGAGCGCGAAACCGGAGTGAGCGGAGTGCTGTTGCATCTGCTTCTCGCGCAGCGGGTACTGCGAGAGGCTGGCGACCCAGGCGAGGAGGCCGCACACCGCGAGCTCGAGCACCCTGACGGAGAACTGCCAGCCCCACCACAGCCAGGGGTAAGGCTGCGGCCGGTCCTGCACGCCGAATATCCCGTAGAGCTGCACCAGGCCCATCAGGATGAAGAGCATGGCGATGGCGATGGTGGTGGTGATGGCGGTGCTGAGGGCGACGGTGGTCGGGTCGGCGCCGGCCATCATGTGGTTCGCCCCGGCCGCCTTGTTGCTGGCCGCGTGGATCTGCGAACGCACCACGCGGTACACGTAGACGTAGCAGAGGCCCAGGGTGACGCAGACGACGATGTAGATGCACTGGCAGACCAGCGGCAAGATACGCGCCTCGTCCTGATAGCCGAGCACGTGGGTCGACACGTGCAGGGAGACGCAGAGCACCACGTGAACGGTGGAGGAGAGCACGAGGGTGGTGGGGGAGAGGATGCTGTTGTTGAGCGAGGGCGCTTCGGAGTAGCGCGCGAGGTACAGCACGAGGGTGGCGAAGGCGGTCGACAGCAACGGCGCCGGCAGGTACATCAGCACCCTGGACAACGGCTCGGGCAGCGAGTGGCCGAGGTTGTACGCGTCGTAGAAGAGGTGGAAACAGCGGAGCGTGCAGACGGTGGTCAGCAGCAGGTGCACGGCGAGGAAGTAGGACTGGCTGAGGAGGTTCGTCGCCTCGTTGAACCGGACGATCTTGTAGATGGAGAAGAGGGCCATCAGGGTGAAGGTGATCGCCGCGAAGTAGACGTGCAGGGACCAGGCGATGCGCCAGGACTCGAGGGGATTCGGCGTGTCCACGTGCGACACCTCGTCGCCGTCGCTCGCGCCGTCGTTCGGCCGCTTCGAGGTCGGCGCCGGCGGCTGGGCCTGCGGGTACGGCAGCCTCTCCGTGTCGACGATCTCGATGCTGTCGGTCTTCAGGCCGTTCTCGTTCCTGAGACCGTGGTAGCCGTCGTCGTCCTGCCGGCCGGTGTTGGGCAGATTGAAGATCGTCGGCTGCGTGACGACGCTCTTCGCCGCCGGCTCGCCGGAGCTCCTCGACGTCGTCGTGCTGGCCGCCGGCTGAGTGCTTCGCTGCTCGGTGGTGGGGGCCGCCGGTCCCTTCGTGGCCAACGGCTTCAGGAGTATGTCGGGGACGTCCTGCTTCCTACCGTTGCTGCCGGACAGGATCCTCGAGATGCTCGGGTAGTGCAGAGTGACGAACTCGTTCGTGTCGTTGTTCCTCGTGCGGTCGCCGTCCGCGGACTCCTGCGGCCTCTGCTCCTTCTCGTTCGCCGGCTTCCCGCGCGATTCCTGCCGCTCCTCCTGCGAAGGACTCTGAGGTAGGTCCGGCGGTCGCATGGGAATCCTCTCGTGCGCCGGCGTCAGACTCGGCGGCGGCATCGGCCTCCGGTTGCCCGTGTGCACGTCCGAGTTGGTGCCGCGCAGCGTCGGCTTGTCGGCGAACGGGTGGAGGTACTCGGGCGGCAACGGCGGCGTGAAGAGCGCCCTGGAGGGCGGCGCGTACGACGGCAGGTCGCGGAAGATGGGGGAGGCGGTGGCCCGGGGCGCCGGCGGGTACCTCGCCGGCAACGACGGCCCGGCCGGGGTGGTGCTGCTGGTCAACGGCGACGGCACCGTCGACAGGGTCGTGCTGGCCGACACCTGGGCGTCGTATGCCGGCACGCTGCGCTTCGTCGTCGCGGAGCTGTGGGCCACCTTGTTGAAGATCGCCGCCAGGTTCTTCTCCAGCGCCGTGTGATCCAGATTGAAGATCGGACTGTTGGGCCCGCCGTCGCCGCTAGCCGTGCACCTGGGGGAGAGCAGCACGACGGCCAGCAGCAGCAGCCGCATCCTTCTTGAGGTCATGAAGACGCTCGACATCGCGCCGGGGGGGATGATCGCGGACACCTAGTGGACGCCCTGTGCGGGCATCGGTTCATTCCATAACAGGCTTCACCACGACGACGACGCTGCTCTTTTCTCCCTGCGATTTCGGAGATCTCTCTCCTGTCACATTTCCGAGATCGTCGGCAGTGTGTCTTCTTCGCTCTATCGCGTCGTTCCCTGCCGCGACGGCGCCGACATTCGACGTTTCCCACTTATCTGGCAGTGGTTGATCCTTTCTCTCTCTCCTTCTCTCTCTCTGATAATATTCGGCAATGTACACGAGAGAGAAGGTACGGACGGGAATACAGTGGGAGAGAGCAGATTTCTTCCTCCCTGCAATGAGCAATGTACGACGAAAGCCGGCGGTGTGTCCACTACCGAAGCGCCTCCTCCTCCTCACGCACACACGCGCGCGGGAGGACGCGATTCAATAGCGCCGGATGATTATTTCGCCGTGGTAACTTCGTCGGCGGCGTGCGAGGGGGTTACCGTCGTTCCCCCGCCCGCGGTTCACTAGATTTCAAATCTATCACACGGCAGGGATGATGCGAGGCCTGTTATCGCTGCTGCTCGGAGCCATCCCAGATTCGCGAGAGCCTCGCCGGGATCCCCGCGGGGTCATTTAACGCGCCAAATCGCCTCGTGGCCCCGGTCGCCGGCGCGGCCTCGTAATTGCCGTGTCCATTTCTTCTTAATTGGCGCGCGCGCGACCGCGCGTGCTCCTCCGCCCCCCTCCCTCTCTTGGCGCCTTCTTCCTCTTGAGCGCTGCGACGGGAGCCCTGCGAAAGAGATCTGTCGTCAGGCAAGTTCGGCCGGAACGGGGAAAAACCGGCAGAGAAAGGAATCTCTCTCTACGGGAGCATTTTTTTATGCGCAATACGCGAATATGCGAATACTCGCCGGCGTCGGTTCTTTTTTACCGATTCGCGCGCACAAATTCCCCACCGCCTCTCGTCTCTCTCTCTCTCTCTCTCTCTCTCTCTCTCTCTCTGTTCGGAGACCCGAGGAATACTTTTTTTTTTCATCCTCTTTTCTTCGACCGGGAGAGGAGAGAAAAAAGCGGACTTTTTCGGACATGTGAAGTTAGCACCCCAACATTAGTTCTCGATAGTTCTGATTAGAATGCCAGCTTTCTTTCAAAAAGTATACGAATACTCTTATATTCATAAAAGAGTTCCGACGATTAACTGAAAAAAGAAATAATTAAAAAACAGGTTGCTAACATCACGCCAAACATCAAGATCGGATAGTTCTAAATAGCTTTTCAAATTTCTAATTACCAATTTCTGGATTTTCAGATTTTCAGATTTTAGTATCAGGAAAATATAATGAGTGAAGAGGTGGCACGAATTTTCGTAGATTTGCCGCGCTTTCTCTAAATTTTTAAATTATTCATTTCTCGATTTTTGCCTCATAATACCAGGGATACACGATGAGCAAGGAGGTAGCGCGAATTTTCGTAGATTTGCCGCGCTTTCTTTACATTTTTAAATTATCAATTTCTCAATTTTCACACGTCCGACTTTTTCGGTACGCATACGCTGGCGGAAGGAAGTGTTTAGGTGCTTGACGGTTTCCAGCGGGTAACGTCGGACAAAGCGACATTCGATTTCGATAACGTTTCACCGTCATCAATTAATCGTCAATTAGACCGATAAAAACAAACGCGTTCTCGCGCGCACGCGCGTGCGTGCGCGCAAATACGCAATATTAGTTACGCATCATTAATTTACACGTTAATATTATTAGCCCGCAGAAATATGTAAACGCGCAGGTTCGTGCGGATCGTAATTGGATTATTCGTAAATACTATTATTTATCATTATTAAGTTAATTAAGTCTTATATCGATAGGCCACTGCCGCCGGCTGGTAATTCGCCACCGGTAATTGATCGTAAAGCGATCCAAAAACGGAGGAGGCTTCTTTGTGTGTAGGATACCTTAGACGAGAAGTCGTAGAAAACGGGCCGCCGTTTCGTCCGTTCTTCCACGATACGTCGCGCAGCGGCAGGAAATTGATCGGCCAGGTAAGACGGGACACGTGGATGAGTCAGTCGTGACGACGACGGGAGTGACCATCGATTTCTTCCCGGCGGTATCGTCCGCTATCTCGTTCCGCGAACGAAACTTAATAACGGGGGCACATCTCTGTGCAGTTCCGACAGAGACTCGATTTTCCGGTGATACAGCCGGTGCTTGCGGGATATTTCGAAGAGCAAAATGCGTCAAAGCGACTTTTTCCGAAAGTCGGGGTTCGAAAGTTCGACGATCGACGTGCGCTCGAAAACTGTATTTTTGTAACTGCTATAAAAATACCTAATAAACACATACATTATAAATCAATTACGGAGAGAACAAACTTGGTAATTTCGTTCGAGTTGATGTGAACAAATGATTTGCTCAGTTTCTTCTGGATTCTTAGAAAAATTGTTATTTTTGATGGAAAATGACTCTACTATGGGAGATGTCATGATATTTAAAATTTTGTGGGAGATCCGTGTAAACCGTCCGAAATCGGACGAAGGGGAGACCATTTCTGGCTGTGAGAACGAACATTGATTTTTGTTACCGAAAATTGTCTCTTCCAACCGAATCTGATTGCTCGTTTCTCGATTGACGCAACCAAACTAGTTTTTTAAAGTAGAAACATATCTATACGTGAAGCGCTAGCCTAGATTGCGGCTTTGGCAATCCGAGGTTCGATCCCTACGATGAGCTTTTCTCTCATTTTTATTCTTATCAAGGCTCCTGACTACTCAGGCTGCAATTGTCCTCGTTTGATAACGTCATAAACGAGAAAGCGCATACCAAGAATTCTTGCGTTATACGTTCAGATAGGAAGATATATCCGCAATATGACATCCGTGATCGATTCAGCATACTTGTAAAATTGTCCAAACACTTTTCCTATACTCGATCAGTCAATAAATAGTCGTAAAATTAACCTGACACGGAGCATTCCCTTCTAACCTCTTTCCTTGTAATTTTGTCAATGTTAATTTAACGCTTATTTATCGATCGTCCGCGTAAAAGGAAAGTGTTCGGAAGATTTTAACAACAAGTATGCTGCATCGATCACAAATGTCATCTTATGACATTTTTTTATTCGAACGCAAGAATTCTCGGTATGAGTTTCTTCACTTCTGACGTCAGCAGAAATAAGAACCGTCGCAGTGAGGAGCAATCAGGAACCTTAAGGGAGGAAATTTTTTCATTGCAATAAACAAACAATTCGTTGAACATACAGAATGTACCGTTTAAGCCAATACAACGAAGTGTCTCGCAGACAACAAATTAAATGGTATACCCTGTATATTGACTAATTTATTCGGTTAAGTCTTAGGTAAACTTCCTAAATCCGGTGATGACAATTAAATCAATTTTTCCGTGAAAAATTGATTTGCTTTCGAGCGAGTAGCCGCCGAGGGCGAAGTGCGACACGATTTCGAGATTTGGTCCCGTAATCAGGCTAGGAAACGACGTTATTTTGTCTTTCGATCCTGCTGCCTCACAGAGAGGTCCTCTGGTGTGTTGTCGGTCATAAGTGTCAGCGAAATGTAAAACACGTGACGTGCCCGGCGCTTTTAGCATCGGACAATATGTCACACGTCGCGGAATGCGCACCGCCGATATTCTTTGCCCGGCAAAAACGACCGCGCAGATACATGTAGTTAACCGAAAAGCTATTTGTCTCTTTTTCATACCGTCTGTCGCGGCTGAAAATGTTCGTTGCATGTCGCAACTTACGTGTAACCTGGATTTCCGAAGCGCCCCTCTATCACGATTCTATCAATCAAGCGCGGACGAGCGACGTTTGACGTCCCGCCCGCGAAATATTGTTATGAAGCAAATCGGAGGATAAACGAGTACCGAAATGACTTATCGCAGACGAGTCCCCGGGATCAAGCTCGTGCTGAAGCTGCTTCCTGCATCGTCGGGGGAGATAAGGGAGGAGCTTTGCTGCCGGGGATTAGTTGGGACTGAGTTCTTTTCTCTCCTACAATTCGTACTTTTGATTGAAACACAGCTGACACACACATATATATGAAAACTTAGTTTACCAACTTATAAGGAGTATAATTTTAAATCAAAATAAGCGAAATTACATTTGGAAAGTAATTATTCCCTTATTAGGATATTTGTGATATTTCTTGCAGTGATTACGCACACATTTCATAAGAATCTTATTTTATTCTAACGTATAGTTTTTAACTTTTACACAGCACAACCTCACATTCAAACTTTGCATTAACTTTCTCGGCAAAATGACGAATCAGTCTAAATTCCTGTTCGCGAAATTTGGAAAAGTAAAAAGCACAGAAGACAAAACGTCAAAATTGTACTTCACCTCGCCTGCTCCGCTCGTTACGTTCCGTCCCATTTTCCCCTTTTTTTCCCGCCCGTATTCACGGCGTCGCGGAGTCAATTCGTCGAAAATCCCCGGGTGCTTTAACGAATCACTCTCTGCGCCGACCATCCAATCGCGTTACACAGAGAGAGAGAGAGAGAGAGAAAGAGAGAGAGAGAGAGAGAGAGAGAGAGCGCGCCTTCATTCCCAAGCGCGACTTATCAGCTGTGATTTGCCGGCTAGTTGGTTTAATTTGCCAAATACACGGACGTTCGTTCGTCGATTGGCCGCTCGATCGGCGCGTCCTTTCCCCCGGTAGTTCTGGATCTATCGAATCGCGTGATCGGGTTCACCGATACACAAACCCCGCGGGCGATTTGCTCGATAGGAGTTGATTAAGCTGAAATCAATGCGGCTAATAATAGCGTTTGTTAAGGGTCGCGACCGTCGGTTGAAACTCCCCCTCCGTCCCTCTGATTGTTCGCACACGCGAGCGTCTCTCTCTTCCCTCTCGTAAAATCATCATGGGCTGTGTTTTCGTGAAAGAGAGAGAGAGAGAGAGAGAGAGGACGCGCGGCTCGCGTTGATATAAGTTGTTAGTTAAAGCGAGTCCGAATAACTTGACGCTCCGCCGCGACTTACTTTAATTAATTATGCGACTCCCGAGTTTCGTTGAGGGGCCGAATACGCTCGTTCCGTTGGACATGATGTCTAGGTAAAGCCAGCCACAGTTACCACCTATTCGTGACTAAGTACAGTCAGTAGACGGTAAAGAGCAGCTGGATGGGACGTTGGAACACGGCTAAATGAGGCGCACGAAGACTCCGGCGGAAGTGTTTACATCTGCGATTGGCGTGCATGACTGTTCCCGTAATTTCGGAATTTCCAGCGCATCACCGTCGTATTTTCCGCGAGCTCCGTCGGAGAGAGAGAGAGAGAGAGAGAACTCGATCCTGCCACCCCCTCTATCGTCGATTTTCGTATTGCAATTTTAGCATCACGTAACGTTTGCTGAATAAATTGATTAGCACGCATGATCCGCCGGATTCTTCGAACGCTGGATAATCTTGGCTGTTTGTCTAAAAACAGCGGATCGTCGGGGAGATTCGCGAAATCCGCGCCGGCAAAAATATTTCACGCGCCATGGAACGTCGCGGTACGTTCGGACAGGTCAGAGAACACAGAAATACAGCGGAGGGAAATATTTGTTCAATGCATATTAATTTCGGCTAAACGGTTTCGAAATATGTTTGCCACGGCTATCGGCGGGAACGCTGTTCCATCGTAACCGGGCGGAATATTACGGGCGAATATCGGTGATTGATATTGCTCACGCGATTTGGCCGCGTTAAAACGCGGTGGTTTTTCTTTTTTGTTTTTTTCCGCGCGCAAACCAGAAAAGACCGAACACGGTAAACTCGAAATCCCATT